CGACCGCGATTCCCTGTCGGCGTGCAGCCTCGCTTGCCAGGCCTGGCTCCCCTCAGCGCGCACACACCTCTTCCGGGACCAACGCTTAACCGGAGCGAAGGACTGCGCCCGCTTCGAGGCGCTCCTGGAGAGCGCGTCCGCCATCGCCCACTACGTCCAGAAGCTCTCCATCAGCGAGCCCATGAGCACCGCGTACGCGCAGAACTGGGTCAACCGCGTCCCCGCCCTGGTCGCACAGCTGCACCGGCTCACTACGCTCGAGCTTGTAGGCCTGCACTACGTCTCGCTCCAGAAATCGTCGCCCGAGGCGCTTGAGGCGCTCTCGCGCCTCACTGGGCTGGTTCTCGCGGACGTCTACTTTGACAGCTTCGCGGATGTGCACGCGCTGCTGTCCGCCGCGTGCAATGTGCGCGAGCTGTGCTTTTACCGCGTGTCGTGGGTGAACCCCTCGTGCGCACCGTACGGCTCGCTTCCGCTCAAGGCGCCCCCGCCTCTTCGCCGGCTGGTCATTGATTCCTGGGCGTCGTCGGAGATGGTGAGCGAGTGGCTCTTGCCTTCGGCGGAACATCTTGACGTCCGCACGCTCATGATCCGGTGGCGCGAGCGGGAGTCTATTGACACGCTAAACGGCCTCCTCCGTGCATGCGGTCCCGCGCTCGAGCGGGTGTATATGGAGCTGCCAACCACTATGGAGGGTAAGCACACCTGTACTTTCCGCTTCAGTCAAAAGCTCACGTGGGTGCTATAGAATCACAAGAGCTGCCTAGCTTGTATCACAACGTTAACCTCCGTGCGCTGGAAATCGACGGTCTCGTCGTCCCCGGATGCGTCGCATGGACGTCCGCGCTGCTTGCGGAGCTGCGCGCGCCACATCTGGAGACGCTGTCCGTGTCCATGCTGGTCTTGAACACATCTTCCGTCTCTTCCTTCGACTGGGCCACCCTCGACTCCATCCTCTCCCGGCCTATTTTCGCGCACACTACCTTCAACGTCAACATCAACCTTGCGTTGCATTCGAGCAACAACCCGAGGGTGGTGAAGGAAGCCGTGTTGGGTCTCCTTCCCGGCGTCGTCGAAAGGGGGAAGCTCTGCCTTCGCTGCACCTGACCTTCTATCTTCTGTTCCGGGTTTTAGGGATTTCGGGTCGCCGGACCACATCTTAGACTTCCTTGGGACCATTTCTTTGTCTCTCGTGGTTCTCGTCGCATTTCGCAGGGCTATAGCGGCACCTTCCAGACGGAGTGCCAGTGCTATGTTACTTACTATATGCATGTGCTAATGGGTCGTTATGTACAGGTGCATGACTAGAGTGGTAAATTTTCCTATGTGATGTATGCACAAACAGTCTACACTGGGGATACAATGAGTTACAGGAAACTGTGAGAATGACGCACTGTACAGCACTGGACGTAGACATAACACGCTTACGCGCGGGTGAGCAAAAACTGTGTGTGTAGTTACAACAGCACTGTGTAGAAAAGCAAACGAAAGCAGACACAGACAGCAAGAGAGCATCTCAGCAAAGCAGAGCGAGGCTGATGCGGCGATCAGCTTGCAAAGGCGACCTGTCTTTGCTTCTTCCGGGGAGGTCCTGTGGAGATTTCGACAACAGGCAAGGGGCGTGGAGGCGGGAGGTCGAACAACGGCACATCGATATTGACGAGCCGTTCATCCGTCGGCACGGGCAGGAACGTCGGATGCTGCGGAGATAGTTTATGTAAGTGTCAGGAAGTGCAGAAGCGAACAACTGGCTAACCTCGATGAAGTCGCGTATGGTACGGTCGTCGGTGGCGGCCTTGGCGAACTCTTGCTTGTTCTCCCGAAGGGCTTTGCTACGCGCTACCATGACCTCTTCAAAGGTCGACTTGATGGCGAGCGTAGTCACTGCAGAGCAAGAATCAATGAGGGCTGCCGAGACACTTATGCCTGGCACCTGGGCTTACCGTGTACTACCGGCCGCGTCTGACCGATACGATGGACCCGCTACAAAGCTCACCGTCAGCGTATGCTGAGAACAAGGTGGGGAGAAGGTTACCTTGATCGCTTGCGACTCGACGTCGGCCTTCCACACAGGCTCGCAGAAGATGACGCGTGAAGCAGAGACAAGATTCCTAGAGACACGTCAACTAGGGCCCACGAATACTCCCCAAGAAGCGACCCACAATCCACGTGCGCCATATTTCAATTCGAGAAGTAGAACGCGGTAGAGGTCCGAAGTCTCGAATGTCGTGATCATCGACTGGCGCTCCTCGCGATTGTGCTGGCCGCTGAACGACAGGTACTTGATCCTGCAAAGGTCGAACGCCTCCCCGATGAACGCCAGTGTTGCCTGAGACTCTGAAAAGATGAGGAACTTCTCCTCTGTGCCATACGTGAGGACCTATCGTAGATCATTAGCGCGCTATCACGCAATCCAGGGGATGAAGCGCACTTCGTGAAGTATGTAGTCCAACTTCGTGGACGTCGAGTTCAGAACACGAATTGGAGCCGCTTTCGAAAGACTCAGCATCGCGGACTCGACGGTGCGTTGCGACGGGTCCCTAGCGGTCGCGGACGCGTTCTCGTCCCCGCTGAACGCGGCGTTCAGGCGGGCCAGGGCGGCCTCCATCTCACGCTTCATCTCCTCCTTCTTGTCCTTCGCCTTCTTGCGTGCTGCGGCATCCAGCGCGATCGACTGCTTGTCGGACTCAGACCGGTCGCGCGCAGACTTCTTCTTGCGATCCTGCAGCCGAAGCCACTCCCTGTACGCCTGCTCGCGCTCGACGTACGCCCGGCCGTTCTCGGAGATCTTGGCGACGCTCGAGAGCGGGCGCTCTTTGACCGTCTTCCGCATCTCCACCAGGGCGGAGGGCGAGAGGAATAGTGTGGAGCTTGCGGTCCGCGCGAGCTCGGAGAAGCCGCACCATGCTTCGTAGATCAACGGGTCCACTTCCTTTACGCGGTGGAAAACCTGGTAGTGGTTCTGGAGGGCAAGCCAGACGGGGTCTTCCATCGCTGAGCGCCTGATGAGACAGTTAGTATCCAAGATAAGAACACATATGTTCTTAGGACTGACACGTGAAGAATCGACTGCTGGATGAGTTCGAAATCTTCGGGATCCCCGTCACGTTTGCTCAGATTCTCTAGGGCCAAATGCGAGTTCCTCAGACGTTCATCGAGGCCACTGTCGACGACGTGCCAGAACATAACGCTGCAAACCCGTCGTAAGCGAAGTGTGACCCTGATAGCCACTGAGGACGTACTGGGAGATGTTGGAAATGAGTTCTTGCAAATGGGCGGCGTTCTGTTCCATGGGTCAGCGCATACATTGTGCAGATATATAAGGAATCTTACGCGAGGATGAAATATGTAGTCCTGAGGGTCTTCGGTTAGACAGCTGTGACGAGGGGCGGTGAACAACCCAAATCATACCTGATGCTGCCTCTCGGAATCGACGACGTTGACCGCGATGGTGGCCTGGATGAGATTGTACGTCTTCACGGCGAGCGGATCCATATCGAGCAATGCCGTCTTGTGGTTCAGAAGGGCAAGTTGGACTTCGCTCTCGACGTCCTCAATTCTGCAAACACCGGTGAGCGTACGCACTACATACGAGGTTTCGCATGACCCACCTATGTCGGACCATGACTGACGACATGACCTGGACGAGAACATCGATATCGCCGGGATAAGGCCCGCTCGAAGCAAATAATGGGTTGGCGACGAGGGTCGCGAACGCTTTCGGCTCCGATTTCGACGCGAAGGGCATCATTAGCAGGAAGTAGGATAGCATGTTGCCGAGCTTCCGCAGGTCCTCGCGCTCGTCGCCGTGCCAGACGCGTTGTGGCTCGACGCGCATGACCTCTTCCTCATCTTGGGGATACAGGAGTTCGCTGCCCGCTCCGAAGCTGAGCCCAAGGAGGTTGGCTGCACGATGGTCATAGTGAGCATGCTGACCAACAATAGCTGCCAGCAGAGCCAGAAAACGTACTGGTCGGGGTACCGGTGACTATCCACCTCCGCTCGACGCTAAGGATGTTCGAGAAAATGGCGTATTCGGTGCGCTTCTCCGCCGTGTTGTGGCCTTCGTCGACGACGATGCGCTTCCATCGAATTTGGAGAAGTGGCGAGACGTCCTTGCGACGGCTGCACTTGCACCGCCGCATAAGCTTGCAGTCGCATACGTTCCACGAGTGCAGACTCTCCACGTTCTTCTTTTTCGCCTCTGTAGAGAAACCTAGATACGAGTGATTAGCTGTTGTTGGCACAGGCTTGTCATAGGGGTATACTTACGTGACTGACTCATGAGCACGATCTAGGAGATGTCAGACAACAAGCATATTATGGACGTCAGTGTTGTATTTTGGCACTCACGTCGTAATACGTAGCCAGCTGTGGTGCATCTGGAAGGTCCCGCTGGTCCTCGACCAGGAGAACACGCATCAGGTCCGTACAGTGCTTCAGGATCTCGTTCGCCCATTGCCTCCGCAGATTGTCTGGGACGATGACCAACGTCGCCGCAGTTAGATACATCACCTTCGGGCCCGAAATCTCTTGCTGTCGTGCGCGCCTGCCATAAGCCGCTTCGGGAGGATCGGGAGAGTGGAGGTAGAAGGGAACGTTGGCCATGAGCGGTTTCCACATGCGGTGCCTCTCAAGGCGCTCCTGCTCGGCCGGTTCCCGCCATGGTATGCCTTCTGGCTCGACGCGGCATTTATGCAGAATGATCTCGGCGAGGGAGGGGAAGCCGCTGTCGTCGGGCCCCTTTCGCTTCCGCGCACCAGACAGTTTGGCGCGCTGGGATAGAACAGAAGCCGTCTTGAAGCGTCTGAATGCGATAGGTGTCATGGGGGTGCGTTCCTCGTGGATACCTTCTTCCGGAGATGCTAGCTGGTTGATAGTGGAGAGGATGAGGGAAAGAATCATGATCGTCTTTCCGGTACCTAGATCAGGGTTAGTGCATACACGGCGGTAGTCACGGAGCGAACGAACCAAGTTCTTCACAGAGAATGCCCCCGCGCACAGCGGATACACGCGGAAGTTCGGAGAGAATCTCCATCGTCGCAGGTTGCATGTAGAAAACCTTTCCATCCACCCCCTGCAACGAAATATAGAGCGGATGCTCTATCGTGCCAGGGTTGGTCTCACGAGCTACCATGGTAGCGACACTGCGACGCTGATACTCATAAAGCTTCGTCCGAAGGCCAGGAATGCGCCCCTTGATCGGAGGCGCGGATGGGGAAGGTAACGTGTTGTAGATATCTAATAGCGACCGGTTATCCTGTCGAAGCATGTCATCAGTCAGTGAAGCGAAGAGGAATGCGCGAAGGCGCTTACGGCGGCTGGGTTGATGAAGTAACTTGGGGAGGACGGCGACGACGCAGTGCTGCCGTCCCAGAGAGATGAATCTGTGCGGATTTGAACGAAGAGCTGCTTCAGGTACTTGCACCCTTTGAGGACCACGTCTTCGTCGCGCACGCGCAGTTCTCCTCGAGACCCGGCCAGGTCCCAAGGGATAACATATATGCGCACGTGTAGTTGGGTTTGGGCTGCGTCTACACGATAAGTGGCTGTGATGAAGCGATGTCGGGCGAGGAAAGAGATATTGTCGAGCCGACCGCTTTCGTCGCGGAAACCGACAACGACTTGCGGAAAAATGTGCCACCCGTCTTCGGCAAGTCCGTCCTCGCCAGTAAAGCCTTGCAGAGGCGCTGTGATGTCGAAACTGACTGTCCCAGCCGGGAGGAGGTTCTTGAGTGCGGCATAGATGTTTGGCGTGGCGGCGAATACGCGCTTGACCCTAGTAGTAGCCATGGCGCGGCGAGGTAGCGCGGTGCCGCGCTACAGTGGCTAGTAGCAAAATCGAAGACACGAGCTCCACCCGTAAAATCTGTGGTAGCTGTGGGTTAACAGTGATTTTGTTAGCATTTATTCTCTCGATGAGCAAACTTTGAGCACCTACGTGTGCAAAGCTCGTGGTGGTCGTGGTGGAAGCTAGGCCGGTGCGCTTAGCGGCTGCCGCAGGAGCAGTGAGTGAAGCGCCGTGACAAGCTTCTTACTTTAGCTTATGTGGCTGTGCTGGGCTTTACAAGAGAGAAAACGCTGCCCGCAGTACTTGGCACGCACAGCCGGGTTTCCTCTCTAATAGCCAACGAACGGCAATTGCAAATCACTCTAGCTCAGCTCGAAAGAACACTGAGTACCCAAGTCTAAGATGTGAATGTCAAAGATTTACGTTCATTGTATAGGATAGCATTTTGGTCATGAGTACAATTCTCTATGCTCGAAAGGCATGAATGTCTATAGAGTACACTTTCTGTATACTGCTCTGTCTACAACCCCCTAATCCCGGCAGCCCCGCTCCAGCTCCCTACTGCGATTATCATGACAGCGAGAAGGAATTATGCAACCCTACGGTACTGTCCGCGCCGTTCATCGGTCCGCTGCAGCCCATCGCCATCTCCTTGCTCTCGCCCGGCTGGTCATGCTTGACCGCGCCGCCACCCTTGCCCTCCAACGCGCCGAGCCCGCCGCCCTCGGCCTGGCGCTTCATGTTGTCCGAGCGGAGGTCCTCGAGCGAGTTGAAGTACGCCTCGTCGACGCCCCCGGTGACGTACTCGCCCGTGAAGACGGAGCAGTCGAACGCCTCGAGCGCGGGATTGAACTGCCGCACAGACGCGACGAGATCGGGGAGCGTCTGGAAGATGACGAGGTCTGCGCCTATCGCTTCTGCAATCTCCTCAGGCGTGCGGTTGTGCGCGACGAGCTCGACGCGCGAGGGCATGTCGATGCCGTACACGTTGACGTGACTGGGAGGTTGCATGAGCATTGACACGGTTTTAATACACCGGACTAGGGTGCTTACCGGATAGGCGGTGCGCAACTCGCGACGATGACCTTCTTCGCGCCAACGTCCTTCGCCATTTGGATAATCTCCTTCGAGGTCGTGCCACGTACAATGGAGTCTATCAACCGTAGGTAAGCGAACTAGGATTTCAAATAGCAGACGATTGTACATACCGTCTACGATGAGGACATTCTTGCCAGAGAACTCGAGAGCCATCGCGTTGAGTTTTTTTCGGACGTTCTTCCGCCTAACGAGGGATTTAGTTCCGTGTAAGGTTCCGAAGCAAATTCACCTTACCTCATCTGCTGGCCGGGCATGATAAACGTACGGCCGACATACCGGTTCTTGATGAACCCTTCGCGATACGGCAATTGCAGCTTCTGCGCTAGGTTGAGCGCGGCGACCCGAGAGGTGTCGGGGACGGGGATCACGACGTCCACGGAAAGCTTGTGCTCGTCTAGAACGCGCTTGACCTCATCCGCGAGTGCGTCGCCCATCGCCATGCGACTCCGGTACACGCTAACGCCGTCCAAAACGGAGTCGGGACGCGCAAAGTAGACATACTCGAAGATGTCGGGCGCGAAGGTGGCGGGTGCGCTGACCTGCCTCCTGGTCACACCGTTCCGGGTGATGATGATGGCTTCGCCCGGACGGACGTCCTCCCAGTCGCCGAACCCGCTAGCGTCTGCGACAACACTTTCGCTCGCGAACAACCAGTCCTTGCCTGCGCCACCGCCCAGGGCCTTGCGCCAACCCATCCCGAGAGGGCGAATGCCGTTCGGGTCGCGGAACGCGATGATCCCAAAGCCGGCAAGCATGGCGACGCACGCGTACGCGCCCTTCACCTGCTGCATGAGCCCGCCGACGGCGGTGAAGATATCCTCCTCGTTGATACGGAACTTGCCGGTCTTCTGGAGGTTGTCCGCGAAGATGTTCAGCAGGAGCTCGGAGTCAGAGGTGGTGTTAATGTGCCTGTGCGCGACGGCGTCCATCATGTGCAAGAGGTTTGCCGTGTTGATCAGGTTGCCGTTCTGGATATACGTGAATACATGCACACGAGAGCTCAAATGCGCGCGCTTACATGGGCCATGACGATACCGTAGGGGGAGTTCACGTAGAAAGGCTGCGCTTCGGCGTGGTTCGAGCTGCCGGCAGTCGGATAGCGCACTTCAAGTCCATAAGCATATACGGCTCAGATGTATGACAACTCCGAGGGGACTCACCATGGCCAACACCCATTCCGCCGGAGAGCCTGGCAATAGCGGAGGCGTCAAAGACGTCCCTGACCATCCCGTTCGCCTTGCATTGGTAGAAGCGTCCCTTCGGGCCGCAGGTGACGATGCCGCAGGCATCTTGGCCGCGATGCTGGAGAAGAGCGAGGCCTTCGCAGATCTCAGAAGCAGCATCGATCGAAGGGTCGTGAAGGAGGAGGCCTAGGATTCCACACACTGCGCAAAGTTAGCATTGCACGCGGCGAGACCGTGCGGACGCATTTGTGAACTCACTCGTCGGGAGCGGGGACTTATAGGACGGTCTGCGATGGACGCGGTGGCCAACAATGCACGAACGTGCGCGGGGGGAATTTGCGACATCTTTCTAACCTGAGAGCAGCGCCGATCTGCCCTTAAAGACCTCCTCGCCAAAATTTGGCCCCGGCCCGCTGCAATTCCACCGCCGCATTTCCATCGGGACGGGCTTCCCGTGCTCGGGGTCCTGACTCGAGGTGCCAGGGTTCCGCCGTTCCGGGCGTGGTATCGGCCGACGGGAGGAAAACCAGTCACCTCACTCGTGCTGGCCGTACGCGTCCTGCGCGCGATGCGCATGGTAGATGCGTGCAGCTCGGGTCGAGCGTAATAAAACAAGCAGCTGCATGGCGGTCGAGAGGGAGGGCGCGAGGCGAGGCAGCGAGGCGGGACGCGGGCGGACGGAGTCGGGGAAGGCCGGCAACGGGGCTGGCGGAGTTTAAACGGCGAACTTTATTCCCCTACGTGTCGGGCGGTCGTCGTGCTCTCACCACCGTTCACCTCCCTTCATCGTCCACGTCGTCCACGATGCTCACCTCGCGCGGCGTACACCGTCTCTCTCGTAGAGCGCTGCAGAGCGCGAAGAAGACCAACGCCTTCTTCTCCACCGCTGCTGCCGCGCCCATCATCGCGCGGGCTGCGTCCACTCCTTCCTCCTCACAACGCGCCCTCCCCCGCTACACCCCCACCAAGTCTGGTTTGTGCCATTCCCTCTCTGTGAGGGTACACACAATTCTGACACGTATTCCCGCATTTTTGCGTGTTTTCTGACGGACAGCGCGTTCGTACGCGACTGAGGCGAAGGGTATTGCTGGCCACGTGAAGACGGTCATTGGTGCCGTTGTTGACGTTCAGTTTGACACTGAGAACCTCCCCCCCATTCTCAACGCGCTCGAGGTGCAGGACCACCATGGTGGTCGTCTCGTCCTTGAGGTCGCTGCTCACCTCGGCGAGAACTCGGTCCGTACCATTGCCATGGACGGTACCGAGGGTCTCGTCCGTGGGCAGAAGGTTGTCGACACGGGTTCGCCCATTCGGATCCCCGTCGGCGCTGCTACCCTTGGCCGTATCATGAACGTCATTGGCGAGCCCATTGACGAGCGTGGTCCCATCAACGGTGTCAAGCTCTCCCCCATTCACGCGGAGCCCCCTCCCTTCGTCGACCAGTCGACGACTGCCGAGGTCCTGGAGACGGGTATCAAGGTTGTCGACCTGCTCGCCCCCTACGCTCGTGGTGGAAAGATCGGTCTCTTCGGAGGTGCTGGTGTCGGCAAGACTGTGTTGATTCAGGAGCTCATCAACAACGTCGCGAAGGCGCACGGTGGTTTCTCCATCTTCTGTGGTACGCCGCGTTCTTTCTATCTTTCCTCGCATCTTCCCTGAACATTTTTGAAGGTGTCGGCGAGCGTACCCGTGAGGGTAACGACTTGTACCACGAGATGATTGAGACCGGTGTCATCAACCTCGAGGGTGACTCCAAGGTCGCTCTCGTCTTCGGTCAGATGAACGAGCCCCCTGGTGCTCGTGCCCGTGTTGCGCTTACCGGCCTCACCATCGCGGAGTACTTCCGTGACGAGGAGGGCCAGGATGTGCTCCTGTTCATCGACAACATTTTCCGTTTCACCCAGGCGGGTTCGGAGGTGTCTGCGCTGCTCGGTCGTATCCCCTCTGCCGTCGGTTACCAGCCCACGCTGTCGACGGACATGGGTGGCATGTAAGTTCAGTTCAGTGACGTAACAGTTGTCGTTTCTTACGGGTCCCGTAATCTATAGGCAGGAGCGTATCACCACCACCAAGAAGGGTTCCATCACCTCGGTGCAGGCCGTCTACGTGCCCGCTGATGATTTGACGGATCCCGCCCCCGCGACGACCTTCGCTCACTTGGATGCCACGACCGTGTTGTCGCGTTCCATTGCTGAGCTCGGTATCTACCCCGCCGTCGACCCCCTCGACTCCAAGTCCCGTATGCTCGACCCCCGTATCGTACGTGAATGTTCTTCGTCGTCTAAAACGGACACTGACGTAGCATTTACTGCCTACAGGTCGGTCAGGAGCACTACGACGTCGCGACTGCTGTCCAGAAGATCCTTCAGGACTACAAGTCGCTCCAGGACATCATTGCTATCCTGGGTATGGACGAGTTGTCCGAGGAGGACAAGCTGACTGTATGTGGTGTCACCATCCTCACTTATGACTGACGACTCATCATTCCCATCTTAGGTCGAGCGTGCTCGTAAGATCCAGCGTTTCATGTCCCAGCCCTTCGCTGTCGCCCAGGTCTTCACTGGCTTCGAGGGCAAGCTCGTCCCCCTGAAGGACACCGTTCGCTCGTTCCGTGAGATCCTCTCTGGCACGCACGACAACCTCCCCGAGTCGGCATTCTACATGGTCGGCACGATCGAGGACGTCAAGGCCAAGGCCGAGCAGCTCGCGAAGGAGATGGGTGACTCCGCATGAGCAGCTTGATCGACGGCGTTCGGACGACGGTGCACGCGTGTGTGATACCGGTGGTGCAGGGCTGGATCCTATTACCTTAGACCTCGCATTGCCAATAAAAATCCGCATCTCGTAATACAGCATCGCTATCCTCGCTCGCGTTGTCTTATCCATGGTCGGACGGTATCATAGCAAGTTGAATACATATGGTTCTTGCATGCATGTTCTACGTTGTTGTGCCCAAATGTATACTGACTAAGGTGACTTGAGACGGATACCTGGATGTCATCGTAGAACCCGCGCTGTCTTGCTAGCGAGAGGTGCACACTATACCGTTATACGTAACTCTTTGCTATTGAAGTCACTGACGGAATTTCAAGCAGGGCGATATAACGGTACATAACTTATAAGTCTTGTAGGATGTTTGTACAGATCTCCGTATTAGATGGTAGCGAACATAATGCTGCATGAAACCCGTATAGTGACCATGACCAACTGTAAATCCCTGAAATTCCCAGAGTGACACCCGATACCCCAATTAAGACTCTAGCTAGAGCACAATGGAAAGATGAAGCAAGATGTAAATGGTTGCGGGAACCCAGCCCGCCACCGCGTCTAGTGGTATAAATCGACCGAGTCGTCCCCACTCTTCAAATGCACGAAATGCAGAGCGTGCCGCGCTGCTGGAACCCATTGAGGCGGCTCGAGATCTCCGCACGGACCTCCTTCGCCATACCGGCACGCTCGCACGAGACGTAGAACAGGACGTGCAGGCCGTGGAACTCGGCGCGGGAGAGGTCCGCGTCGATGCGCGCCCAGTCGAGCGCGCGCAGGTCCGCGGCGGCCGCGATCTCGAGCGCGAACGAGACCTCCTGCAGGTGCCGCGAGCGCACCTGCGAGAGCATCGCGGTCACCCACGGGAAGAGCCGCTGGGAGAGGAAGCCGTGCGAGGCGCGCACGTCGAGCCCGCCGAATTGTAGTGTGCGCAGGCCGGTGTTGTGGGCGAGGCTCAGGTGGTTCTGCAGTACCGCTGAGGTATGGGGCGTGAGATGGGGTGTGTGCGAGGCTGGATGCGGTGAGGCGCTTACCATCTTCTGTGAGACCGACCGGGAACTCTACTTGGAGAGACTCTAGGGAGGAGCCGCTCGCCTGGAGCAGGTCCCCGACCGCTTGCGTGTTCTCGAGCTCGCGCCAGCACAGTTGGATAGTCCGCAAGTGTTGCTCCCCCGGGTGCTTCAGCAGCCACTCCGTGACGAGCGTAGGCGAGGACTTCGGGTCGAGGAAGAGGTACGACAAATGCATCTTGCCCATGTCCGCAAGCGCTTCTGGGGAGTTCGGCTCCTCAAAGGGAGAGGGCGAGTCGTGCTTCCAGGATACCGCCTGGAAGTAAAGTTCCTCCAGCGCAGGGAAGCCGGAGAGGAAGGCGACCACGTCGCGCGAAGCCTCGAACGAGACCTCAAAGAGGAAGAGCTGCCGCACGCGCTTGCACACGCTCGCGAACGCCGCGCGCGTCTCGGCGCTCAGCGCGTGCCAGCGCACCCGCGCGAGCCCGAGCGTCGTGACCTGGTGCAGGAGCGGGAGGAGCATCGTCGCGTCGTTCACCCACGCGTCGTCCTCCTGTGCGGCGCCCTCAGGGGTCGCGCCTGCGTAGTCCGCGCTGAGGGAGAGCTTGCGCACGCAGTATGCGATGCTCGGGGAGGAGGCGAGGAGCGCGCGGAAGCGGAGCACATCATCCGCGTGCCGGAGGCGGACGTTTCGGAAGAGGTGGAAGCGGCTGCAGGGCAGCCATGCCTGGCAGACGAGGCTGCACGCGCGGAGGGACTCGACGTCGTCCCAGAGGTAGTCTATGGTCTCATCGCAGAGCTCGGGCGGGAGGATGGATTGGGGTACCATGGCGTGCAAACCGGGCCTGCCGACGTGTCTGGGTGCGTACGGCACATGGTCAGATTTGTCCCGCCAGCTCACGGCGTACTCACATGAGTGCAGAGGCGGTAGTAGGGGGATGCGGGACAGCTGCTATCTGTCGGGAGGTATATATCAAGCCATGCAGCCTGAGAATGTGGCCAATTACTTAATACTGATACAGGTGACTCGGAACCTTGTCCGACTTCGCCCCCAGGCCTGCGCTGTGTTTCGGAGGTGTCTTCCGCGGTTCTTCCCCGCATTCCGGGGGTGTACACCGCGCCACTGTGATTGGCTCGGGCCATTCGAGGGGTCGATAAGGTGATGGGAGTCTCTGCGATCCGCCGGCGGTAGTACTGAGCGGCACCATCAGCTTCCAGCGCCTAGGGAAATTTTAGTTGCCTTGCCCGTTATCGTAAGCGTGGTGTGTCTACACGACTTAGCCCGGGTGTCTTCTATCGTTCAAGAGGCGATAGCAGTAGATTGCTGGTGACATGAGCAAATCGTCGAGGCAGTTGATTCGGAGGTGAAGAGGGGCGAGCCTCGAGAACGACCGCTCCGCCGTAGAGCGCCGCCCCGACACCAGAAAGCAATGCATGCCGGGGGCGGCGCGCCCACAAGTTTCCACAAGTGTTATTCTGAGGCCCCAAGTTTCCGGCAGCGAACAGTGTACTGCTGTAAATGTCGAAACAGTGCCCAGTCCTGTATGTGAACATCGTGTTCTTGGGGCCAGTTCTATAGGATGTCGATGCCGAATCACTGTGCGCTATCGTGATATGCAGGTATAGGACGAACGCACCTCCGATGCGAAGCAAATGTTATCGACCCCATACTGTGCGGGGGACGCAATACAGAGTTCGTGTTCGAGGAACGTCGGGGGCGGGGCTTTTCGACGGCGTATTTTAACAGAGGGCATTTCCTGCCGTTGGTATGCAAGACCACGTGCAGGAGTAACTATAGCTTGTAAGTTAGCGGCCAGGCGTAGCGTGAGGTGACATGGTCTCGATTTCACCTTCTTCATGGCGCTCGAATATATGTCGTCAAATGTCGGGCGACGACGCGGCACCGAACTGATACGATGGATGAAAGCATGTTGCTCATCGCCGAGGACAACGAGAATTTCGTCCGACTTGCAGTTTCGCCAATGATTTTCCCGTTATTGCTTTTATAAAGCAAGAGCTGTGCTCACTCGAGTGAGTGAGTCGAGGTAAGGATCCCGGCCGGCACCCAGCTTGTTAGCGGAGGGCTCCTGCCAGCTGGTCATAAGGATATTTTGAATACTTTCGGAAGGGGTGATGTGTAGGGCGGTCGTCCATGGCTGTGGTCGCAAGAAACAAAGTTGCGATGAAGTCAATAGATATGGATATGGTCGAGAGTGTCCACTGGCAAATGGGCGCTTTGGCGCGCACAAACGGAATGCTCTTCGGTAGTTTCCAAATGTAGTAAGCGGTGTGCGGCTGGGCGGGAGTCTGGTAACGCGTGTGCACGATGTCATACCGAACTGGATCGACTTGTGCAGTCCCCTCACCTCCAGCTGCGTACCAGGACCGCATGTCGACCCTCAGCCATCCACATCTGCGTACCTTCGTGCGCAATGCCCCGTCTTCCTGCCGCGTGGGCGCGAGGACGCGCACCCAGCTCTTGAGCACTACTCGCGCCAAGTCCACCAAGGCCACGAAGACTCCGGCCTCCAAGGCACCTAAGACCAGCACGAGCAGTGCTCCGCCTTCCCAGGTTGAGAAGGAGACGCTTCCGTGGCAGGAGTATCTGTCCATTCGCAAGCAAAAGAGGAGATGGGAAACGGTACGTCGCTAGTCAATGCAGCCCCGGGGCGTTCGATATACTTTCACCGCCTGCGCATTCTGACCCACTCCGTACATTAGGCCGTGACTATCCCTGCCACAGCCCTAGGGTTCTTTGCGGGTATCTCATATTTTGGGAACATGGAAATGGACCCTAGCAAGCCTATATTCGTACGTCCTCTTCGCTCAAACGCGCCGCTTCTCACTTCTTACTTGTCACTTGTTCTACAGAACATCGACCCTATGTTCGTATACGGCGGTGCGACTCTAGGCTGCGCAGGTATGTCATTCGCATCGCATGACCGAGCCCCTGCTTAACTTGTGTCAATCGTGTATAGGATTGGGTTACCTTCTCGGTCCAGTCATCGGCTCTTCTATATGGCGTTTGACCCACCGCCGGACGATGAAGCTCATTGAGCAGCGCGACAAAGAGTTCCATCAACACATAGTCAAGAACAGGGTCGATCCCACTGCTCAGAGTGCGACCAACCCTGTCCCAGATTACTACGGTAAGTCGTATCGTTGGCGTATGTAAAGTATGTCTGTTGAAGTCTCTCTATGAAGGCGAGAAAATTGGCTCTCTACATGCCTACAGACAGGTAAGAACTTCCTGATTGCTGTTGTACCACTACTCATTCGGTCTTTTTTCCAGTGGCTGCGGGACCAGTCAAAATTCCGCAAGAAGGCCTCTGGGTTCCTCTCTGAAGACTAGACTCTGCTTGTCAGCTGTCCTGATATACTACGCCTAATCCACTCCCTATTCTGCCCTTCATTTCGCGCCGCAGGCCATGCTAAATTGCGCAGTCGATGATTGTATACCCAGCGTCAGTGCCGGAACATCGTAAGTGTCAATTTCTTCTGGGATTTGAGAATCAAGAGGAGCCCAATCAGCCGCCTCCGCGCACTTGGAATCGTCAGACATCTAGCGCAAGAGTAATCGCTGTCGCTCACGACCCACTAGCAGACTGTCTTTCTCCACAGCTAGCCTCACAAGATAGATGGTGCACTGGTTATGTTTTTGAATGAGACGCCGCTACTAATCAATTCTGTGCTTCTTATGAGTGCCTCGAGGCTGCGGCCGTGCTCAAGAAGCACCTCTCATGCTATGACTGTGTCACGGTACATGAGCATAGCATCGCCCTGCCCGCCGTCCCCTTACCCCCCCCCCTCTCTCTCTTGCCTCCCCACCACGTCGTTCGCCCTCACCTATATTCGCATGAACACCTATCCCAGCTCCACGCCCTCGCCTCCTCGGCCACCACCCCTGGTCGTTTCGCATGCTCTTGCAGCACGTGGTGCGAACCCTCCGGGGCCTATGGATCTGACATCTTCCCGCGAGGAAGTCCTGCCAACTCGGACCGGTCTCGCGACCATATCCACTGTCGCTGCGCCACCCCTAGAGCCGCGACTCGCGCCAGTTTCTGGGATAGAGTCGGGGCGTTCCTTGGGTATGCTGGCCGGTCTGAAGAGGAACGGGCACAGCGCCAGTTGGTCGTACGCGCCTTCGCCCTCACAGCAGCACAGGTATGCGCGCTTCTAGTCGTCACTCCGAATAGCTCCCTCTTACTATATCCTTCCCTAGTTCATCGTGTCCGTCGCGTTGACGTTCGACGGCGCCAAACGCAGGGCGAAGGAAGGCCCGTACAGAGGCCAGACCGAATTGGAGATATGTCTCACGATTGGAATCATGAACTGGATATGGTTCATACGTACCGTGCTCATATGCTTCCTGCTCTGTTGGTTTCCCGAGAGGTATGTTTTCCATAGCCACGTGTTATGATTTAACATGATGCTCACCACTTGACGGTCAGCATGGAATCCGACGACCCAATTTGCCCCTTGGACATTGTGTCTATACCCATCCTGTGAGGGGCTGTCTTCCTCCGCGACAGGCTCACACAGGCTCACACTCTAACATAGCATGGCCAAGAGCACGACAATCACAATATGGCTGTTCGTTATTCTGTCCTTCCTCTGGCTGGGCCTGGAGGGAAAGATCTGCCGGGACCACGCGCCCCATATATTTGCGCTCATGATCCTCATCCTCTCCGTCATCGCCCTGCACTACGCGCTACAATGCTGCATCTGGGTAAGCTCGTGTGGACATCTCGCGCGCGCTTTGTCTGACCTCCGCCTCCTTGCAGACCTACTACGCATACGGCAATGGACGCTCGCGGCGTGCTCCTTCCCATCTAACTCGTGCGGAAGTGGACCGCATCGCGCTCGTGCACTACATACCCCCTTCTGCGGATGAGGCTATGAGCCCTGTCAGTCCTGCCTCGCCCACGTCCCCCACAGCCCGCGGCCTATACCCCCCTCGCTCGCCCGTCTCGTATTGGAAAAAGACCCCTCGGTTCATCCTCTTCCGCTCGCGCTCTTCTGCAGTCGACGGGGATATCGAACGCGACGCAGGAGATGCGAGTTGGGGTCGGCCTGAAGTTCGCCTCCCAGACAACCTAGCTCGGTGCGCGATCTGCCTGGAGGACTTCGAGGCTCCGCCGGGAGTCGTCGAGCCGCCGTCTGAGAGCGGCGGCGACGGCGACGGAGAGACGCACGAAATGACACGAGCGCCGCCTAGGTCGGTCATGGAGATGCGTGTGCGCGTCGAACCCGAGACTCGCCAGCCGGAAGACTTCGGCGTAGCAGACGCGGGCGGGAAAGGGGCACCGATGCCTCTCCGACTGTTGGGCTGCGGCCATGCATTTCATGTACGTCCTGTTGTTCGCCTGCGGCGTAGATGGCGGTCTGACGAGAGCGGGTGCCGATGTTGTAGAAGGAGTGCATCGACCCGTGGCTGCTGAAACAAGCGGCGGCGCGTTGCCCGAACTGCAGGATGCCTGTCCAGGTCCCGCAGCCGGCTACGAAGAGGTGGGGGAGTTGGAGGAACGCAACTGCTTGAGAAGATCGGTATACCAAGTATGGCTTCGTTTTAATGATGCTTTCAAGTTTTTAGTAAGTGTTCCTACCTATTACCGCTTGTTGTTCCATCTGACATAATTCTTCCACAGGGTTTGTTTCGCTTTTCTGGCTATTCGAAGTTTAGTCGCGATAATGCTTTCTCGGTAAGTGCAACCCCCTGTTATGATTCGTTGCCTCCCTAATACTATCCTTTCCTCAGGATCTTCTTTTGCTCTGCTCGCAATGGACCGACTGCTCGAATGTACATGCACCCTCATACCCTAATGCATGCATCTTCCGTACGCAGCATCTATGAATCGCAATCACAGCGCGAAATTGTCGTGTTTGGCCGGGCTTCTGGCGACCAATTTAATATAAAACGTGAGTCTTTCCTGGTGCTGATGCCTAACAGTATATTCTGCGTCCCTGCAGGCCAGTCCTGTCCCGGAGCGCGGGAATATGTGACGCAAAGTGCTTACCACAACATTAGGCTCTACGATGCTCACGGGCCACAAACGACACAGCATATGTGTCGCTGTGCACTGCACTATATCTATGTGGATTTGTCATGGACTCCACAGCCTCGGAAGGCCGGACCTGCGTAGCGTGGCTCGACTCCCACAGAATCCGCGCCCAGGTACCAATCAAACTCAATATGCGGTTCGAGCCTCTACTAGAGGTGCCGTAGGACGAGCGTCAGGATGCGCATACCAGACTTGCCTCCCGCCCTCACGCCGATGGTGCAGCCGTTCGAACGAACGACGCAAGACTCTGTTTTGCAACCTCCACCTCTGATCGAACTCCGTCCCTTCGACGCCTCTGCGTCCCCCGCATGGAAGGATGCCGATGTAGAACCTAGTATGACGTCCACAACGCGAAGAAGCTTATGGTACAGATCGAAAGCGTTCCTTGGGTATGCTAGCCGTGACGGGGAGCAGTTGGACCGGCGTACGTTTGTCCGCGAGATGTGGTTCGTCTTCGTAGCGACAACACAGGCATGTCCACTGCTTATCATACAAAGGCGGCGACTGTGGACCTAAATGTTGCCGGACCGCCTCTGCTACAGCTCGTGGTGACCATCGTGTTGACGGCGCTCGGGTTTCTGAACAAGGAGGGGCATAGCGACCAGAACGAGTTCAGCGCGTGCCCCGAGTTTGGAGTCCTCAACCTCGTTTGGCTCGCGCGGACCGCGTTCGTGGGATACCTGGTCCTGTGGGCGCACCGGATGAGAGGCAGGATCGAGTGAGCTGAATTCTCTGGGCGCGTCCGCCACGTCTGACCGCTGATCACAGGGCGCACATGGATGGACGTGCAAATGGTTCTACGAGCGTCCAGCATACCAAAGACGACAGCCGCCTCGAAAGTCGCAGCGCTACCCGGAGCCCGTGGGACGTCGTACCCGAACGCACCGCTGTCATCCGCATGCGGTATGTCATCCGTCGAGCAATTGTGAGCCGGTGGACTCATATACAGCCTGTAGAATGATCACATTGGGCGCGCCAGTGGTGACCTTTGTGTGCTACTGCGTGACGCTGTTTCTGTGGTATACGAGGCTGGATGGCTGCCGCGAGGTCGCACCTCATATCACCACGCTCACCTCCATCATCGCTACGGCCGCCAATTTTGGCTATGCGTGGTGGCATCTGAAGAATCTGGTCGTGGTGCGTGTTCAATGCAGCTCGACTTGTGGGGGAGATGCTTACGCGAGCGCTGTATCAGTCCGTGCAGCAGTACCAGGCTGACAAACGCGCGAAGGCGGATGCTGGAAGATTTATATGACAGAATCGCCGCAACACATTGGAGCACATTGAGGACATTACGCGTTCGTAATAGGTGCATCAATGACAATGGGGGCTATGTTGAGGCTGTCTGGCGGCATCGAAGAGACTACTTTGGCCAAGCTCTTCAGCGCGTCATATGCGCTTACTCGTATGGCAGGATTGACCTCGGTCATTGACACAAGGATATCGTCGATCTCTCGAATGGAAGTCTGGTACGAAGTCAACGTCAGATCATGGGGAAGAAGTACGCATCGGCACTCACCTTGAAGTCGCTCAGGCTCGTCCCAAATTGCCAGACGTCAAGCTTGAATGGATCATATGGACGCCCTGACAAGACTTCTTGAGGAACACGGCGGAAATACCGTTCCTGAGTGGCAAAGGTAGGGCACAGCGGCAGACCGACACAAGTACGCGCGTGAGGAGGCACATCCTCCTTGAAGTGCACGGCGGTTTCGAAGTCGTTCAGGAAGACACGAGGTCGCGAGATGGTGAGTTGGCGAGGAGCGAGAGATTCTGGGAACCACTGGACGAGGAAGTTGTCTAGAAACGCATCCTGATACGCTGTGAGTAACAAACCCGGGCAGGGTATGTCGAGACGTACTCGGTGGGCAACGCGTATGCTATGCAAGAAGGCAAGTGCCTTTGCTAGGGGTGTGAGCGAAGACGTATGCATCAAACCTATTATAACTTACCTCCAGGCACTGCAGAACCATGTCGATGACATCGCCAACCGAGTTCTCAGCACGGAAACCGTACGCGAGTGCCATGGTGCGACCGATCCTAGGAAAGACGCCGAAAGTGATGTCTTCTAACTCCAGCAGCTCGAAGAGAGGGACGGCATGGTTCGGGGTTGCCTGGCTGGTTGCACCCCTCGACATGTACTGGAGCACTTCCAAGTGGTCAAGGCCCTCTGGCCCGGCGCTTAAGACACGTATGACCACATCTCGACCATCCGTGCTGCGTGCACAGCACAACATGCCGTTCTGCGCAGGATTAATGTTAGTGTCGGGCAGATAATCATGTAGCAATTACCTACCGGAAAGCTAATCAAAGATAGCTGGAACATTGGACTACCAAACCCCCATCCACGGTGCAACGGTGCGAGGGCAAAGCCGTTACAAGTAACTTCGATGTCTTGTGGGGGGTTCATGGCATCGACGCCACCGTGACGAGGTAGCCAAAGATGGTATCCACGGTCCTTGAAGAAGCTCCATAAGGAGACCCAGAAGGATCCGGAGAGCGCCCCTTCATAACTTGGAGAGCACCATTCCCTGATTGTGCGTGGCAGCTACGATGCGGGCCCTTGTGAATAGCTGACTTCGAGGATCATAGAAGTCATACCTGGGAGCGCAGGACTCTATTCGTGCGTGCGCGAGTCTTGAACACCGAGCGTATGGATGAGGAGAGCGTGGTCGACGTGACGATGGGCGCCTGCAGTAGCTGCAAGGAGAGCAACCCACATGGACAGGGACGGCAGTGAGCCTTTTAAAGTGACGCTCATGTTGTTACGCAGTCGAGCGTCCGAGAGCGAAAGAATAAACACCAGATAGTCGCAGACAAGAGGTGTATGGACTTGGAAACTGAGGTCTTGACACAGCCTGTTGCCGCTGTGCGCGGGAGGAGAGCGGCGGCGCCAGTAGTCGGCGTACACTCATGCCGTGCGAAATCATTTCGCATCTACATGCCTAGGGACCTGGGCACGCATGCTGCATAGCCTACAGTCCTCGTAGATTAGAGTGCCCTGTTTTCAGTTCTGTGCAAGTACTCACCAACGTTTGTCGAGATTGCGATACATGGTCAGGGACCGGGGTGGACCAGATCTCGTCGGAAATAGCACTCCAGAAATAGTGCTAGCGCTATGGCGGGGAGAGGAGAGACGCTGGGCGGCTGCGGGGAAAGCGATGCAGCAGCCGAGCCCTCCGAGCACTCGACGCCATGACAAACTCAGTCCAGTCGGAGCGGCGTCCCACCTTGCTCTCCATCCATGACCACCGCGCTGCTCTCCCAGTATGGACCGGAACACTGAGGCCATTGCCTCGACCTCATCCCCGGCCACTCCGCCAGCTTTGGCCGTGTCTGGCGGAGCACCACCCCCCGACCAGCCAAGTCCAACGAACGCGAACGGAGCGCCCCCTCCGCGCACGCCTCGGAGGTCGCTATGGAAGCGTTTTCTGGAGTTTATGGGCTACGCAGGCCCGTCGGACAGCGAGAGGAGAGAGCGGCGACGACGCGTCAGCCTTGTCATATTCCTCCTTTCGGCTGGAGCGCAGGTACGAATGCAGTTGCCCATCCCAAGCCAGATACTGAGTGATCACATATATATCCTTGCAGATCGCCATCGTCATCGGTCTGACCATAATATCCTCTGTGAACAAGAGTCTACGCCCCGATTATCCAGGCCAGAGCGAATTCCAAGCTTGCTCAGACTTGGCCATCCTCAATCTCATATGGCTTGGAAGGGTTGTATTTGTCGTCTATCTCCTCTTCTGGGCCCGATGGATGAAGCGCGTACTTTCGTGAGTCTGAGTGCATTCTGCGCAGGTTCTTCTCTTAACGCGTTTCTCAGTCGGCGGAGACGGAGTGACGCCCAACCAGCCACTGCTCCGGTTCCCGCACTTAACGCACAGGGGGAGGTCGATATCGAAGCTGGTGCCCTCCAGGCAGAGCCTGTGCAACCTACACTCACAGACTACATCTGCCCTATGAACGTTATCGCAATGCACGTTCTGTAAGCAGTCGCCATGCCGCCGCGTTTTGGAACGTCGCTGCTCACTGCTCAATATCACAGACTCATCAAGCTCAGTCCCGCATTGACCTTGGTGTGGTTCGTCACCGGCGTACTGCTGGCCATCCAGCGCGGGCCGCACTGCCGCGAGGCCTCACCAAGCGTCCTTGCGCTCACTGCTATCACACTCCTCGTCATCTACATCCGCTTCGTGATACAGCTTATTTTAGCGGTAACCCTATTCTCATCGGCTCATATCCCGCTCGCTGCTGACTCGCCGCGGTTAGCTCATCCGAATAATAGTCGTTCGAAGACGTACCGGCACACCAGCCATCGGCAAGCTCTCGCAAGCCGAGGTGGACCGGATCCCCCTCGTCCTCTACATACCCCCACCTCCCGGCGACGACACTACCGGTCCCGCCAAACCCCTGCTCAGCCCTACCTCCTACCCGCCCGCGCTCCCGAAGCAGCCCCCGGCCGCCGCGAAGAAGAAGAAACGCTTCATCGCGTTCAAGCCGATCCACACGCGCGCGCCGCAACCACCACGCTCCGTGGAGGACGACGTCGAACGCGGGATCGTGCAGCACAGCATCGGCGCGATCAACACGCTCGCGCTCGTGAACTCGTGGGACGCGATGTGGGCCCCCGCGCCGTACCCGCTCGTGCGCCTCCCGGAGAACAAGGCGACGTGCATGATCTGCCTGTGCGAGTTCGAGGAGCCGCGCAAGCTCGCGGACACCGACGCCGACGCCGATGCCGCGCCGGACGCGCCGGGCACGGGGAGCGACGATGGGGACGGAGAGGCGCACGAAATGGCGTATGTGCCGCCGCTCTCCCCAGCCGCGGGCCAGCCCCCGGGGACGATCGAGGAGGTGCTGGTCGAGCCGCCGCGCGAGGCGGACGCGCAGACGGGGGACATCGCGCACGACGAGGAGGGCGAGGACGCCCTGCAGCCGCTGCGGCTCCTGAGCTGTGGGCACGCGTACCACGTAAGTCTGTTCACTCAGCGACGCCCGGGCACGGATGCTGACGCTGCGGTTTTTTGCCCGGTTACAGAAGGAGTGCATCGATCCGTGGCTCACGCAGAAGTCGGGGCGCTGCCCGTACTGCCAGACGCGCGTCGAGGTGCCGCCGCCGGTGAGGAGTGGGCGGAGGTGGTGGCGGCGCAGAGGGTGAGGGGGGTGGTGCGCGGATACCCACGCCTCGCTGTGATTTCTGGCTTGCTTTGCTGTCCCGGACGTTTGTTCGCATCTGCACCCTGGATCATGTACTTCAATCGAATATGTACTAGTAAATACGTCCCCGTGCATGCACGGATCACATCTAGTTCAGCGTCGCATGACGTGTGTACACACCCCTTTGTGAAGAATCTTCAAGAGATGGCCGTGCAACATATCGACGTGGCTGTCGAGTAACTACTGTTCCAGATGAATGCAAAAACAAAGCATTTGCAAGCAGCGATTAGGGCCTGGCCGGGAATTGAACCCGGGACCTCCTCCATAAGTGCTTATGTAGCCCTAAGAAGGAATCATACTACTAGACCACCAGGCCTTTGGAGAGTAAGCTTTCCTTACCACTCCGGCCAGCATGAGACGGGTCGGGACCGCTGATAGGAGACGGCGAATACGGAACACAAACATGCGGTTTATGGTACAATGCGAGTATGACAACGATACAGCGAGACGGTAATACAGGGGGACAGCGAGATGAGGAGGGCGAAAAGATTCATGCAAAGTCCGTGAAAGAGGGTCCAATTTGAAAGACAGCCAGACCGGAAGACTAGAGTTTCTCCAGGAGACCGCGCAGTATCTTCTGGTTAGAGGCGGCGCCGTTATCTTTCTCTATCGCCTTGCTCTTCTTCTCTAGAATGGCGATGGCTTGTTCCAGGTCGCCAGGAAGGGCGTCTAGAGCAGTGCTTGCACGAGAGGCTTCAGGAGTGATCAGCGTTGGGACCGCAGCAAAGCGCGAGCCGATGAAGACGGAGGGAGCGCATATTCACCACACCGATCCATTTCTTCCTGAAGCGCAGACCAGAGCTGTTTCCGTTGTTCGTACGCATCCTCGAGAGCGGCGATAGTCTTCGCGACGGTCCTCTGTGCGGCGGATGCGATTCGGGCTAAACGTGGAAGCTATATGGCTCAGCGGCAGCGCGCACCTGCGATTGGGCATGCGCAGCCTTGATCTCGTCTTCATCCTTCAGGGCAATCCGTTCGACTTTCTTGCACACCTCGTCAAAGGTTAGCAAGCCCGCGCCGAACTCCAGATCAACTGAGACGATATCAGCGCGCATACACGACGGCATTTATGGAGTCCATGCGCACCTTTATCTTCCAGGACGCCGTGGACATCCTTGACGTGACTGTATGCGGGGAGAACGGTGTCGGCGAGGTACTGCTTCAAGGCGACGCCTTGTGCCGCCATCGGCGCCTTGAGCTTCTGCACCAGCTCGAGCATCTGGTCATCCTCATCGAGCTCCGGGGTGCTTCGGACGCATATAAGCAGGCCTCCGTGCGACGGAGCGCGTGTGGCACTTACTTGTCCTGGAGCAGCGCGACTAGGGTGGACTCATCGTCCCAGCTGGACATGTCGGCGTCCTCGTCGGGGTCGCGCCGTCTGACCGGGCCGGCGCGCGCATCCTCATACAGGGGTTGACGCGCCCCGCGAGCGTCTTGAAGGATGTGCGCGCGTTCCTCTTCCTCTTCGTCCTCTTCGCGGATCGTCGAGAGCTGGCTTCTCGACTGCAGGAAGCGACTGGTATTAGCCGAGTGCAGTCGTGAGCGAAGGCCGGGGCTTCGCGGGACACTGGGTTTGGCGAGGACGTGTGGTTTCTGATGCTGGGCCGTGCGGGTGGCTGCGGGCCGTCATCGCATGAGGTACGGCATGGAGGTGATGATGGAGATGCGTGCTCACCAAAGCGGGTCTGCTTGTGGGTCCGGGGCGCTGCGGGGGACGCGCGCTGGACGAGGAGGGTGTTGTGTCTGCCCATGGGGCGTCGGTGGCGGGGGGCGGGGCGGGGAGCGGGAAGAGGACGAAAAGGGATTGGGACTCCGATCAGACACTGGGACCCATAGCGGTGATGGGCGAATGCTAAGTAGACGCCGGGCCATCTTCCAGCTGGCTTCTGGACGTTCTCACCCTCGCCCGAGCTCAGTCCGTCCCAGCCCTCCCCTTCTTCTCTTCCTCCCCGTCCTCCCCATCCTCCACCAGGCGTCTCCCCCCGGGTCCGGCCTCCCCCTCCTCTGTGCTCTTCCACAGCCATCGCCCTTGTGCCCCCACTGCCCGCCAGCTCCAGTCTGCTATCACCAAAGCCAACATGAGCGGCCGTGTCCAGAAACAGTCAATGTCCGAGCTCAAGCTCCGCAGGCTCACAGAGCACAACCAGCGGCTCAAGGAGGACCTGGCGCGGCCACGGATACGGGTCAGCGAGGCGAGCAGAAGGTACGCACTAATCCTATAATGCCCCCGGGTCCGGGCCCTCACACATATGTTTGTCATAGCTTGATCAACTACTGCAAATCGACACCAGACCACCTCGTGAGTACCGTTTCAGATGCCATGTATCCTTTGCCATCGCGCCAGAGACTACTGCGGTGCGACTTGCTCCATTCGTAGTGGTCCAGCTCTGCCATGCTAGTGGACATATCTCCGGAAGTTTTACCCCTCGCTGGCGTCTGGCCGTCGATACTCTGGCCAAAAATCACGTTCGCCGGTGCCCGCGCCCCTACAACAGCGACATCCAGCGACACTGAGTGGCATACGACTCTGCATTCCCTGTGGGCGCCTTATCAGTCGGTCTTGACCGTGCATCATCCAGAGTTACGGCGCCAAGCTCGGATATTCCAGGCTCCTAACGAGCTGCCCAGACTCGCGGCTGCCAGTGCGCTCTCGTAACGTTGAGCGGACGCGTATCTAGGGCGTACATCCTGGCAGTCGAAAGTCTCAGACCTTTCTGTTGCCCCCGAACGTCGCAGCCGCAGCCGTCTTCACAATGGTACAAACACAAATACTAAACTTTCATCCGTAGATCCCGTCTGTATGGGGACCCGTGAGCAAAGCTGACGACCCCTTCGGCCCTCCGCCAACGGGTTGCCAGTGTGTCGTCATGTAAGGCCAAACGCCATGCATCACACCCTCGCCCGTCACCCTCCCTGCATCGCAAGCATCTCCCAAAGTTGCCAGTGCCCGGACAGGCCCCGAGATAGCCGCCTCTTCCGCTCACAATCGGAGGTGCGAGCGGCGCGCGGGGCGGTGCGCGGACGCAGCATGGTGTAAAAGGGGTTCGCGCCCATGCCTGCCCTCGTACTGTCTCGCCGCCGTCGCTCGCTTCGCACGCCAAACCGTTCCACCCCCAGTGCCCTCCATCCCCTTTCCTCCTTCCGATTCTTCTTTTCATACAAGATACGCGCCGACCGTCACTGTTTATCGTCCTATCTAGCGTACACCCCGCCGCTCCTTTTCCCAGAATTGCAAGCCCTGCACGCTACTTCAGCACACATTCTTACATGGCACACATAGTATATACCTCGCATCGGAATACCTTTCCCCGCCCTTCCCCTTTGCCTTTTTTCCCTCTCTCCGCCATCATCCGATCCTCCACCAGCCCCCTCGCGCACCGCACCGCACCTGAAATATTATCGCTTCGCGTTCCACCGGTACCGTCTTCTCGCGCCGAATCCGAGCCCGCTTATGGCCGTCCTTCTCTCTTCCGTCTGCGTCCGGATACTCGGGGCTCCGAGAGTCCCTGGCCAGCCCTCTCTATGACATATTTAGTGCAGACCCCGTAGCCGTACTCGTCCCCAGATCAACTCGCTATCTTGCTTTCCGTCTCCACCTGCGCCGTGCGCCGGCGTGTGGGCGAATGTGTCCCGATTGATACAGTCGGTGCGTTGGGCTTGACGGATGCGTTGACAGTTGTACTGACTATGACAGGCTTAATGAACCCGGCGGTGTGAAAGCCGGTTGTGCAATGGCGAACTAGGCATGGCTATGTGGATCTTGCATGCGCCGTCTGCGAGTTCCGCGCGGTGGTGGGTACAGCCGCACAGGAAAGTATTTGCGTGCGTATATCCAAGATATGTGCGCAATTGTGATGCAAACGTGCAGCCTCTCACGTCTGCAGCGACATTCGATGTGAGGAGAACACTGTGCACTCCAATGACTTCGAGCGTGAGTTACATTCGCGGCAGTCGCTCACGGCCGCAACTGAGCCTCGTGTACGTGGCAAGACGTAAAGGCCGGCGAGGGATACAGCAAGTTGTCTTGTGCAGTAACTTCGTGTCGATAACATCTTTTGCCCTCGCTCAGCCTCAATCACAGAGTTAGATTGCACCGGCATCCTAGCATGCTCCTGGAACAGCACGACGAGCTCTCATCACATCATGTTGGCGAACGGTCGGAAGGGAAGCAAGTGACGGTGTGTATAAGTTGAACGCTCATCATGTAGTGTGTATTTGATCACATTCTTTTTCATGACCTTCAGCCGCCGCCGTGGCCTGCGAAGTATCAACGATATACTCCTATTCGTTACGCGGACCTGGAACCCCATCTACGCCTCATCGAAGGCAACGCGCGTCCATATCTGCGATTTGGGGTGGTTGTCCCCGGATTCACCCGCGCCAGACTCAGCGTTAGAGCTCAAGAGCTGCTGGACGATCCCGAAATCACCACCTGGCACCCAGACATCACCCGCGCTGGCGGGAGATATCTCGTAGAAAGCGGTAATTCCTACCATTGCCTCCAGGTCATCGACGCCCGCCTTCGGTACCACCTAGCCAGTATGATTGCGGAGGTGTTCGACGTCGGCTACAAGGTGGTGCAGCCCGAGCCGCACACCACCTTCTACTCGTTCTTCACGAATCGTGCTACGCACGCTTTCCTGCAAAGGAAAATCCCGCTGGACCGGATAAAGAGATGCGTTCAGGCTGTGAAGGAGGCGTGGGGCGAGGAGAGTGCGCTCGAGGCGATGTGGTACTACGACGGCGCGCTCGCACTTCCAAAGCGTGTTCCGCGAAGATATCGTACACATGATGAGCATCCGTTTTGCAGAAGGCTTGAAGCATGCCGCAGGTGAGGGCAAAGATGTTGCGTGCGTGTGCACAAACGGTGGGATCACATTGCAGAGTTGAAACGAGTACGCAGGGCGAGTCAAGAATTGAGTGTACAAAGGAAAAAGTTCGGTGCACAGAGTCCTCGAGCATGAAGTACACGTACAGCCGTGCCGACTGTGGAGCGATAGCAGATATTAGCTCAGGACGTGTACGAGGAAGAACAAAAGACGAGTAACAATCCGTACTGAGTTTGCAACGTCAAGACGGGCACTTTCCACTGCATCCGGGGTCGGAATACCAGGACGTAACGGATATAGTATGACGATATCACAGTGCAGAAAAGAGACTCGGAGACCTGCAATGCAGTCTCGCAGGGTACTCTTCGTTGCTGAAGCTCGATGCGATGGATTTGTCTGGTGTTGTCCACACTGCTGTTGTCGTTTGTTGCGAAGCCGCCTTGAATGCTAACAACTCGTCCTCGCTGAACTGTAGAATTGCAGTATACATTCTGCCACAGAATGAAGTGTTAATACGACACCCAACATCACAGCCCACAATCGAAACCGATGCGTACTTTGTTTGCGTGGTGAACACGAGGTCTCCAAGTGCTTGTGTCGAAGTGAATAGCGGGGCTTCTTCGCCCTCCTCGATGGGCACAAACTGTGGCGTCTGATCGAAGATGAAATCCACCGGTACGGAGGCGGGGTCCTTCTCCGATGACCAGAAGCCGCATGGAATATTGCTCTCGTGAGCTGAATGGTCGCCGCTGTCAAATTGCAACAGGAAGAACCAAAGCGGTGAGGCTGCTTGCTCAGCAGCGTGTGCGCACATTGTGACAGTAGTCTCAGTGAAATACACCCGGCGTGGGGCTTAATAATGGTCATATCAGCGGCCGAGACACAGAAAGGCAGAACGGGCGCGCACCTATGCTGATGTGCGCGTAGAGTTCTACTACAGATGGATCCGGCAGTGTACGCATCATCCACGCGGAAGCGGCGAGCCTGTCCAGCGCGTGTACACTTTGCTGGAAGAGAAGAGTCGTGTTCACAGGAATACACGAGAACTGGTATCTGGTTCAGATGAATTCAATTGGGGCACGAATAGCTCAGACGTCGCTCTCACCTCTTCCATCTAGTCTGGTTCCAGCCTGTGCCTAGCTCGAATTCGATGCACATCTCGCCAAGGTCCGATTCCGGGATTCTGAGCCATTCGTCCATGTCCTTGAACCTCTGCCAGAAATTACGGCCTTCTGCCGTCGTGAGTTGACTGGGAAGACTGGTCGATGGGTGTATCCCGTGGCGACTCACCTTGCCTGGGATCTGGAAGTACACTCGGTTTACTCGACATTGTCAAAGCGACCTCTAACCCGGGATATTGTGCAGATAGATAGGTCCAATCTTCACGAGAGCTGTTGCGTCCCAGCCACACTCCGAGAGGATACCGTGGATAGTCTGCAATATTCTCCCAATGCGGCCGCCAGGAGCGGTCTAGAAGCAGATCCCTGTACGCTCCGATAGGGCCGAAGATGAGAGATAGCCAATGCTGCACCATAGTGTCCACGTGTGCACTTGCAATGGTACGAAGATCTGACGCGAAAGTCAGTAATCGCACTTTCGAGGAATTTTGTACACACAGTGCCTTCTATTATACACATCCTATCTCTTTGTGCAGTCGGAACCTCTATTCTCTGTGTATGAGTATAGTTAGTGAGAGCATGATGAGGGTAGCGATCATCAGTCACCTTTAAATGGTCCATCCTCTCAAGCGCGAAGGGATCCCGAGCCCATTTGATACGGCCCCCATGGCGGTGATCAAATACGACTTCGTTCGACCCGATATGATGAACAGCTGGACTGAATTCCTGCATGAGCATGAGATAGGTGGTAAGTCAATGGGCCTGATAGTTTTGTAGCAGGTGCATCGTACCCAGTATGTACGCGTTGGGAACAGTCGACACAGTTCCACCTGAGTCTCTAGATGGTCGGTGGCCAGCTGCCCACGACATATTCAGACATCAATTGCATCCACGGATCAGTACTTCAGTTGAGATGTACCTACAGCAATCGCCGCCTTCTACATAAAGCCTATAAGCTTCGTAGCGGCATAAGGTAATATCATGGCCACGCACTATTTTCAGGTGCGCTTGTAACTTGTCGGCACTATGCAAGAAACTGAGATATTCCACAGCGGGAATGTAGTCTTTTAACGAACTATTCAGCTCTGGAGACAGGCATCGACTATTTTGCCACTGTACGATGTCACCGTACCTTCCATAACGATGTATGTGGCCTCGCCTGGCTCTCCCGGGTAGGAGTACCCCAGCATAACCAGCATGTGAGGGTGACTATGGGCATGGTAGTGAGACACAGCCCCGCGTAGAGCGACCTTGACGTACTAAATTTGCTTCGCGAATTTTACGGCCTCCACAAACCGCTGATCATCGTGATTTGGATATGCATGTACCACTACCTGCGTTCCAGAAAGTTCACCGGTGGCTTTCACGACGGCACGGTAGCGGAAAACGCGTCCTGTCCGTGGCTGAGCAACAGTCTGGATGACGGTGCGTTCGTCTCCATACTTTGTACTAGTTGTACGCTGTGGATTGTATGAGTCGACGATCGGCTCCAACAAAATGAGATTTTCGCGTGCGAAGAGCCGGAACTACCCCACCAATCGTTAGCTGGGACAGACCTGGACAGAGGCAGTAAATATACACGAATTCGAATTCTTACATTTCCGTTGAAGGTTGCCCTTTCTCCGACACGATGTGCGAGATCCGAAAGGCCGGTGCGGATGTCTCTGAAGTCTTCAAGGACAACTTCTCCGATGCGTGCCGAGTCGTCGATGTGCTGCAGCATGCGGATGTGCCCGCTCGTTAGCATGTTCATGTCTTGGTTGAGAGCGAGCGCAGCCTGGATCTAGTGACGGTTACGACATCAGCAGGCTATGAGCACGAGACAAGCCGTTCTGTCTGTACCATAAACACGCGGAAGGAGTCCTCCAGCTTCGTCGTCAGCACCTTGACCTCGTCGGCAATCTTTCTGCGCTTGAACACAAAACGAATGCGCTCTCGCGTTCTAGGACGTAAGCGACGGTCCATCAAGTTCTCGATGGCTTGCAAGTCCCTTGGGTTAAGCCGAGGCCGATTAGAATGACGCATAAGAATTGAATACGGCACTACTTACTGCAGGAACGTCGTGACATGCACTTGGACCGCCGCGTCGCTGCTCCCGTTCTTGAGCTGCTGGTAGAGTGCAATTACAAGAGTTGTAGCACGCTCAGCGAGAGCTCGACAGCCATCCCGAGTGTCTTTGATCTCCTAACCGAACTTCAGGTTACCGCAGAGACAGTATGAGGGCGAATGGAGTATGCTGACCTGGGCTTTTTTTGCGACACCGAGGGCGCATTCGACGGCGGTGCTGAGCCCCGGGATAGGAATTTCGGCCGTTAGGAGCTTCGCGATTTCGAGCGCCTTGATCGATGTCTCAAGGAGCTCCGGCATACCGGACGAAAATTTCGGGGACGAGTCGGAGTGCAAGAGAAAGGCAAGTTAGCCTGGTGGCGGCTAGTCTATAGATGGGAGTACGGGGACGAGAACACCAGCGATAGTCCGTCGGTGCGCAGGGCTAATGTAGGGCATATAAGTCTTGGGTTTGGGTTTGGGTTTGAGTTTGGGAGGCGTTCCTCATGTTCCCAGAGGCCGCGCAAAAGCCCAAGTAGTGACAAGGTTCTGGCAGGTATATTCGAGAAGGCCGAAGTGTCGACAGCCTCCAAGACATCTTTGTTATCTTAGGCGGGTGCTGTCATGCAGGTTCCAGCGAGTGCTCACCACTACTAGCTGTCATCACTGCCGCGCGAGTTGCAAGCCAGCTGTGGTGCTACAACAACTTTCCGAGGTTAACATCCCCGCATACCCAAGACGACCTCTTCGTGGCGCCGCAAAATACGCTGGTACATGTGGCACGTCGAGCGCGATATTATCAGCTCTTTTGCCTTGCGCCCTGGCTGCTCGAGTGCTGCGAACGCGTGCTGCCTTTCCGATGTGATGCCGGGCGGGAGCTCTAGCAGTTAGCAGCGCTTAGTGTGGCGAACGCGTGCTTCTTCTCTGCATCGAGGCTCGAGAACTATGTCGCCACTGGAGACGATCAATTACGGTATGACAGCCCAGCGGGACAATGCCTCACAGATGCGGACGTACCATGAGGCTGTCCTGCACGAACTTGTGCAGCGTTGTGAGCCTAAGCATATTCACATGCCCGGTGACAAGGACCTGCCGGACTGTGTGCGTTAGGTTCAGCGGCGCAGATGGTGCGAAAATGGCAGGGCGTACCCGGAGGAAGTTGCATGAACGCCCTTCGCTTTCAGGTGACCAGTTTGAGTCATTCAACGTGCACAGCGCAGCATGCATGTCATGGTTGAAGGTCGCGGGGACTGGGTACATAGGCATAGTGAGTACATTGAGGTGTTATGGCGCAACCAGGATGTGTCGGGATCTTCATGTTCGCACCGCGAGCGGCGAGCGGAGACATAACAGTACTTCATTCTTGTCCTAGTATTGAGCAGGCGTCAGCGCTTTGCATCTTGGCGAACAGTACCACAAGGATCGAGTGTCACCTTCCGTAATTCCTGCCACGCGACTCGCATCGATACTTGGCCCGTGTACAGTGCCACCAGTGGTCCCTCGTCAGACTCAAAGCAAGTCTTCCCATGTCCGGTAACCTTTGCGCCCACAACAGTTGGGCTCATGGGCGCCATCTGCCACCGCCGCCAGTTCTCCCACGTGGAAGATACGGGAAATGTGTACCCCGGAATCCCTGTACATTAATGCTTGCAAACGGGTCAGCGTAGTATATTTAGGACCTGAGAGATTCCTGACGGCTGATGAGGTCGATCGCGAAGTTTGGGACGAGATTTGAGCACGAGGCAGCCTGTTCTCGCAGGATCAAGTACGTATACTCTAGGACCGTCATGTCACCAGCGGGCAGCTCGAGCCAACGACTGTCTTCCGCAGAACTAGAGTGCTGGTTCACGAGCCTACCCTGAGGGCCTCGACGACGTTTCTCCGCACAGACGTTCCGACCGACGACTCGGGCCTTCGGCGTCTGGGCCGCCGTGTTGTGCATGAAGCGGCAGACTGCTTGGTAGCGGAGGGGCCCTGGTAGCCTGGAATGCCTGGAATATCCTGATACCGTCGGGAGGGCGGTGTGGAGGAGCGGTCGTCCATCACTAGTTGTGGTCGCAAGACAGCAAGTTGCGATAATATTTCTTGTTCGTTCGATCGGGCGCTACGCGACTGGAGTGGCGTTGCACGCGTAGGCGCCCATGATAGAACGCGTTGTTTATGCCGGCCAAACAAAGGCGCGCACCCAGCCCGCAACTCCCACCATGTCCGACCTCTCAGACGACGACTTCGGTATGTTCCCCCGCGCGCTCCTGCCCCAAAACCGAGAACGTCTGAATATCGATCAGCGCGCGCACCCCCGCAGCCAACAACTACGAACCCGCCACGCCCGCCCCGGCGGCCAAGAAGGCGCGCGGCGCACGCGCAGGAGGCAAGCCCGTCGCTGGCCCGTCTACGCGCCCCGCCGCGGCGAGAGTGACCATCACGAAGATCAAGCCCGCGAATGGCGCGGGGCCCACGATCGAACCAGCCGACGATGAAGACGACGATGTGGTCATGGTCGACGAGCCTCCCGCGAAGAAGAGGAAGGCGAGCGACGATTCGGACGAGGTCGTGGCCGTGCCGGGGCCGCCGAGAGGGGTAGCGAAGAAGGGTGCGGCGCGTCCCGAACCTGCTGTAAACGGCGCACCGAAGTCGAAGGGCAAGGCGAAGGCGGAACCACCACTGAAAGGTGCGCGGGCAAATGGGGTACCGGCAGAAGCGGTGGAGGAGCAGGACAGCGCTATCGAGTTGGACGACGCCGAAGAACCCACAAACCCTCCCATTCAGCGCGCTGTGCGTGGTGGAAGCAAACAACCTAAGACAAAGAACGGCCCTCCCCCGCCTGCTCGTCCGAGCAGAACGGAGGCTAAGCTTGCGCGTGAACTTGACAGTTTGCGGGCACAGCTGGAGCAATCGCGCTCGGTCGCGAAAGAAGTGCGTACTTTAACAGACAAGATCACCAATTTGTATCGTCCATGTTCATACTGTGGTCGCACCTTTACCGTAATCAGCGACCAACATGCAGCGGCCGGTCTCGCAACATACAGTAATATTGACGAGTTTCTCAACAGATCACGAACCAGAGAGACAAGCTCGCGAAGCAGCTTGAAGAGGTCTTCCGTCTGCGAAACACAGAACCCGAAGGCGTGCTGCAAGAGTACAAGGGACACCTCGAAAGCAGCATACGTCGTCAGTATATCACGTCCCATCCACGCGATTGTGCTGACATAAATGCAGGAAAGGACTCATTGATCGAAGAGCTCACCGCACAGCTGTCAAAACTCCAGACGTCGTCCAAGTCCGACAAGTCATACACGCTACAATTTCTCACGCGCGAAGCCGCCGAGGAGGAGAAGCAAGCGTTGCGCGAAGAGAACATTCGCCTCAAAGAGGTCATCAAGCAGCGAGAGGCGGCGATCGCGAGCAAGGATAAACAGATGCACGCACTCGAAGACGAAGGTAGCAAACCCATCTGCCCTGCATCTGTGCTGCCACTCATATTCCTATGTAGCCAAGACTGCGAAGAAAGATTTGGAATTGGAGATCGAGCGGTCGAAGACTTTGGCTGCGCGCGCGCCACCCTCAACGATGTCGCGACAGCAGAAGCCTACACCCGCGGAGGTCCAGAATACGCCCGTCATCAAGCTGTACGAAGACATGACGAACATCCTCATCACAAGTGTGAAGGTCGAAAAGAGCCCAGAGTACCCCACGTTGGACGAACACATCCTCACGTGTATATACACCTACCAGAACGCGGAGGAGCATATCACGTTCTGTAAGTGTCTCGGTGGAGATGCGGTCGAACAAACCGGAACTGCCGCGCCGACGCCAGTGCTAATACCTTTCCTCAGCTCTGAACTTCACCCTGCGACACACGTACGACCGGCCAGAAGGCGCTACACCAGGAGCGGATCTCGCCGAGAGCCAACTAGTACAGAAAGTCAAATACGAGCCGAAGGACCTCGACAAGGAGAATCCCGAGCTCGTCGAGCGCCTCGCGTTCTTCAATAATCCCTTCATGTTCGCGCGGGACCAGATGACCGTATTCCTCAAGACGCTCACCGACACCGTCGCGGGTGTGTTCGAACCAGATGCCGAGCCAGGCATGGACGACTCGCACGAGGTCATCGTTCTGGATGGGTAGCGGGGGAGAGACACTTGCACTATTTATCGGCTTTTGTATAGGGTTCTACGGACGCGCAGTGCGGGGTAATGTATTCTACACAGGCATGACTACTTCTCTTCTTTCTCGAATTTTTGTGCTTCGCGTCAACCATCCATGTTCACGATGTCCGCCCCGGCCTTCTTCCAGATCTTCAGTGCTTGCTCGTCTCGCGCACGTGTAGCGCGCTTGACCGCGAGCCCAACGAACCCGCCCTCGACGTCCGCCCCACCAAGGTTCGCGCCTGCTTTCACGAGCAAGTCCACAAGCGCCTCATGCCCCTGCCGCGCAGCATAGTACAGCGGCGTGTGCCCCAGCGCGTCCCGCACATGCACGAGCGCGCCCGCCGCGAGTAGCATCTCCGCGCTGCGCACCGCTCCGTGTATCGCGGCGTCATGCAAGGGCGCACGACCAGACGCCCCGTCGAGGCAGTTCGCGAGCCCGCCCCCGATCGCGAGCGCCTCCTCCGCCTGCGCCTCCGCGTCGAAGCAGAACGCAAGCGCCTCGGTGTCGTCGCGACCTGCGGATAGGTGGACGAGAAACGGGAAGAGCGCGCTCTCGGTCGACGCCGCCTCCGCCGCGGTCCAGCTCCACGGAGCAGTCGCGTCGTCCGCCGCGGCGTCGCGCGCCTCCTCGGCGCTGCCCGTCTGCGACACGACGATGCGCGGGGTGCGCGCGGCGGGCGCGGAGGTGAGGCGGACGACCTGCGCGAGCACGCCCTGGATGTTGTCGAGGCTCTGGCCGATGCCCGGGTGCTGGCTGAGCGACGGCGGGATCTTGCTCTCGGAGAGGGTGAGCTCGCCCCGGAGGGGCGTGCCGATGAGCGCGCGCACTTGGTCCGTGGAGAGCTCCGGCTTAGAGAGCAGGTAGCTGAGCTTCGTGAGCGCGCACTAGAGCAGAAGGTGGGGTGAGTGTCTTTCAGACTCATCTCGGAGATGTGATGGCAGAGGCTGAGGACGGACCTCGGGTGTCATATCACCTCCGGGCACGACGCCAGCTTGGAGGAGGCTGCGGCCGGTCTCGTATGCGTCCGAAACGGAACCCTTAGCACACTGTGTAATAGCGACGATGACGACGCCGTTGTCGCAGGCTTCCTTGAGCGCGGCGGTAAGATCCGCGCGCTGAGGCGCGTTCCCGGCGCCGAAGGTCTCGAGGACGACGCCCCGGGTCGGGTGCGCGACAAAGGCGCGGATGGTGGCACCCGTGATACCGGGGAAGAGACGAAGCGTGGCTGTATATCATTGGGCGGCCATTAACGGTTTGAGCGTGTAGCAGTCTTCAGATACTCACCGACATGGGGGCTCATCTCTGTTCAAATCGAGCGTCAACGTCTGCATACTGCACAGCGGGTTCGGAGTCGGAGGTACACACGCTTATGCGATTGGAAGCGCCTCAAGCTCGTCTGACGGATGACATTCTGCCAGTTGACCACGATATCGATGCCGACTACGGTGTATACCGTATGAGCGAACAGAAAAACAAGGACGCCACTGCAACCGTACCGTTCACCAAGGGAGGGAAGTTTGGACTACCGAAGGCGTTGAGGTCGTACGCAGACATTTTGGAGCACCGATTGCCTCGGAGAAGTGTGTGGTTGAAATACAAGCAACATTCTACACAAGTAGCATAAGTGCGACTTTTGGTCCAGCGAGCTGGGAGCTTACCGGGGATGATGTAATGTCCTGCTATTACCAACGCGCCGAGCAGGTTATCCACCGCGTCGTTACGCAGCTGGGACATCGGAATCTGAGCTCCAGTGACAACCTAGCATATGCAATTCAACGGAGCGTCTGCCGTACACCACGGGATAGACACTGACCACCGTCTTGCCGAGATCCTCGAGCATGAAACTCAGGGCAGAGGAAGTGTATGACATGGTATCGGTGCCATGCAGAATGACGAATCCATCGAAATTCGGATAATTGAGCTCTATGTCCGCTGCAATCCGGATCCAATCTGTACTGAAGTAACCGAAATTTTGCTCAAAAACAAGAGACGTGCTGATGTTTGGGTTGAGCGTGTACCTTGAATTTCAAGGTTACTACTGTCGAGCATAGGATGCCACTAGTATTGACGTCAGCAGCGTCGGTGTGCATGGTGGATTTGGATCTAACCTCCAGAACGGCGTAACGGATCCGTTTACTGCTGCCTCCGGGGCCGCTGCTTCTCGGAGTTACAAGCGTAGGCAACTGAGCCTCGTAGATGTCCTCGGTAACTTTCCTGCATACCGGTTGTCGGGAAATGACTCTGTCCATCTGCGGCGCGAGATGCTCGGGGAGACCGATAGGACGGCAAGAGCGAACAGGCAAGGTAAGGGCTTGATGCGAGTACGACCGCGCTCCGCCGCGACTCGGAGACGGTTCACGGGAGCCAAATGTGGTCCCGGTGGGACTGTTTTTCCCGCTATTGCTGCTCCATCGTCTGTAGCCCTCCAAGGATGAGGAATGGGAGAACAGAGACTCTTCGAGCGGGTCGTGGAATCGATGTTGGCTATGAAGCGTCTCCGTCAAGAAATAGGGCTCCGGGACATATCCTTGCTGGCTGAAAATCATGTTGATGGTGCCGCCCGTGTTGATAATAAGCACCTTGGACTCGTCCGAAGAGTGCGAGACGTCCATGGCTGTAGAAGCGATGCCCGCGGAGGCGAGACGAGACGGTGGTTCCGAGCGGCAGACTCGGAGATGGAAAGAGGACGAGCGCATCTGCCATTTTGACTCGCTTAGATTAGATCACATTGAGATCTCGATCTATAATCTACCCGAGATTATTCAGTCCCACTCTCATAAAATGACTGTGAGCATCCCTTGACTCCTCCACTCATCCATCCGTGCTCGATTCGCCATGGATGCCCTCCAAAAAGTGTTTGCAGCGAAGAAAAGCTCGGTGCGTGTCGGGCGGTTTCGCTCAAAGACGCGATACTCATCGTGATTACAGACCAGCCCCGCGCTGGTCACTTTCGTGACCGCGGGGTACCCCCGGGTCGAGGACACAGTCCCCGTAATGCTGGCAATGCAGGAGGGGGGTGCAGAAGTCATCGAGCTTGGCGTACCGTTCTCAGACCCCATCGCCGACGGTCCCACTATCCAAGAAACCAACGTGGTACGTCGCGTGCATCTTATGAGCCCGCGCGCGAGATTGAACCCACCTCTCGTAATGCCTAGGTCGCACTCAAGAACGACGTCGACTACGTTCAGTGCCTCGGAATGGTCCGCGAAGCACGGAGCAAGGGTCTCGCCACGCCGGTGCTGTTGATGGGTATGTTTGCATCCGTTCTCCCGATCTTCCTTCCAGTGTAACCTTACCGTTATCAGGTTACTATAACCCTCTGCTTGCATACGGGGAGGAGAAGGCTATCCAGGACGCGGCAGAAGCTGGCGCAAATGGTTTCATTGTCGTCGATCTTCCGCCAGAGGAGGCTGTCGCCTTCCGTGACAAATGCCGTGCTGCCAAGTGAGTCCCTGCCTTTCTCGAGGACCCATGCCTCTTCACCAAAGGTATGGCCATTTTGGGCGCCTGTCTATATGTGTCCTTCGGGCGCGCAAATGAGCCCTCACGAGCCTGGCAAGAATCAGAACTGGTAGCCAGTAACATGGCTCGTAAGACTATGCGGAAATTCCGGCCGCAAAGGGGCTTTTCCCGCCACACCAGCCGATTTACGGAAAAATTCTCGCCGAAAGGCCCTCAAAAACGCAAGCATCGGACAAGCATCGGCGCTTAAATTATGGCTTCAGTTTTCCGCTGACCACAACATAAAGTACGCCGTTCGACGCGCACAGGCGATGGCTACGCGTTGAGATTTTCGAATCGAGGATTGGAGTCTAGATGACTGAGCTATGGGCCGAACAAGGTCGAAAAGTTTGCGTTTTTGGGTTTGGCCATACCTTTGGCGCTGATGCATGGATCCTCTTTCTCGCTCTCGTCCGTTCAACTCATTTCGCTAGACTTTCCTACGTCCCCCTAATTGCTCCTTCTACATCCCTACACCGCATCGAATTCCTCACCTCGATTGCTGACTCATTCATCTACATCGTCTCCAAGGTACTTCCACTATTTCTCCGTGTTCGCCTGAGTCATCTCACGGTTCTCCTTCTCGTTTTAGATGGGCACGACTGGCTCCTCGGCATCCGGTACCATGAACAGTGCCCTTCCCGACCTCGTTGCACGTGTCCGAGACTACACCGACCTCCCTCTCGCTGTCGGCTTCGGTGTCGCAACCCGTGCTCACTTCGACCTCGTTGCAGACGCCGGTGCGGACGGTGTTGTCATCGGCAGCCGCATCATCTCTGTCATCAAGGCAGCACCCCCGGCGGAGGTCGCACAGAAAGTGGAGGAGTACTGCCGCGAGATCAGTCTGAAGGGGCAGCCACCCAGGCGGCCGAACTTCACTCCACGCCCGTCCTCGACGCTGTCGCGGGCGAGCGTGAGTCACAGCGAAGCGCAGAAGTCGATTCTTCCGCCACGGTTTGGTCAGTTCGGTGGCCAGTATGTTCCCGAGTCACTCTGGGATTGCTTGGTGGAGCTCGAGGAGGTGCACAACGCTGCAATGAAGGACCCCAAGTTCCAGGAGGAGTGGAAGAGTCTGTATGGTTACATGAACAGGCCTTCGAGGCTTTACAAAGCGGAGAAGCTTACCGAGGCATCGGGCGGAGCGACCATCTGGTTGAAGCGTGAAGATTTGTAAGTCACAGCGCTTCACCTATTTCAGTCGTGTCCCTAATCTTTAATCAGGAACCACACGGGTTCGCACAAAATCAACAACGCCATCGGACAGGTAGCTTTTGCGAATACGCTATACTGAGTGCTGCTGAGCCCGTCCGTAGATTCTTCTCGCGAAGAGGTTGGGCAAGACTCGCATCATCGCAGAGACTGGCGCGGGCCAGCATGGTGTTGCGACCGCGACCGCGTGTGCCCGGTTCGGCCTCGAGTGCATCATCTACATGGGTGCAGAAGACGTCCGGCGCCAGGCCCTCAACGTCTTCCGCATCCGCATGCTCGGCGCGCAGGTCATCCCCGTACACTCCGGCTCCTGCACGCTCAAGGACGCGGTGAACGAGGCGATGCGCGACTGGGTGACGAACCTCTCGAACACGCACTACCTCATCGGCTCCGCCATCGGCCCGCACCCGTTCCCCACGATCGTGCGCGACTTCCAGCGGGTGATCGGGCAGGAGATCAAGGAGCAGCTCCGCGAGGAGGTCGGCAAGCTCCCTGACGCTGTCGTGGCGTGCGTCGGCGGCGGCAGCAACGCGATCGGGACGTTCTACGACTTCATCAACGAGAAGGACGTCAGGCTCATCGGTGTCGAGGCCGGTGGAGAGGGCCTCAGCGGTGACAAGCACAGCGCGACGCTGAGCAAGGGCCATGCCGGCGTGTTCCACGGCGTGCGCACCTACGTCCTGCAGTCAGCAACCGGGCAGATCGTCGAGACGCACTCGATTAGCGCCGGGCTCGACTACCCCGGTGTTGGCCCCGAGCACGCCTGGCTGAAGGACACCGGGCGTGCCGAGTACACCGTCGCAACCGACGAGGAGGCGCTGCGCGGGTTCCGGACGCTCACCCAGCTCGAGGGTATCATCCCTGGTGGGTGTTCGAATTCATCTCTGTCCGGGCCGTCGATGGCGAAGAGGACGATGAGGACCCATGACGGCGCGCCGCCGGGTCCGCAGAGTGATGGTGCGTGGTCTGCCGTAATGCTGTTACTGACTGACTGCGGGAGGCGGGACGGAGCGGCGGGACGGTCGTCAGAGTACCGCAGGAAAAGCTGGAGACGAGGACTGGGTGTACAGGGACTCCCTGCGACGCAGCGGGATGGCGCGGTATGATGCCGGGGACAAGGGTCAGCGGCGCACACTGGGAGGGCAGTTCGCGGCCGACAAGGTAAGCGAAGGCCGCGCCGCGGACTCGACGCAGGGCGGGCCGCGCACGTAGTACCACCGTGTATTCTAGTGTAGTAGCATCGTGAATGATTAATGATAATTCAGTCGAGATCCGCCGTCCCCGCGCCCGCGCCCGCTCGCGTCCATCGTCGCCACCCGCCAGACTTTGATTGTAGCAGCGGAAGGACGGGCGTCTATGACCGCGGACTTTGTGTGCGTCTCGGCGCTCGCATGCGAGGGCGGGCGCTCCGTACGCCGTGCTTGCTTTCCACCGCCATGACGGCACGCTTCGCTCTCCTGCATCTCGCGACGACCGACATCTGCTTGTTCCCTGCCAACGACCTCGATTACGGCACCGAGTTCTATCGCCGTAGGAAGATCTACACGACCGGATCTTTGGTTCGCGACTCGCGCGGTGCCGCAGCCAGGGCACCGCATTTCTAGCCTCTAGGCGTACTGTGGACCCTCGGTAGATCATCGCAACTCGATCTCCAGATTCCCGCCTCGACGACGAGATCCCCGTTCTGACCGCGACTCGTCCTCCCGAAGATTCGCTTTTGACTTTCCTGGCACACTCCGACCGGCGCCAGGAACGAATGCGAGTCGAGACCTTGCCCGTACCACCCTGATGCGGATGGCCGGCGTACGCCCATGCTACCGTAAGCTACCGTAAGTCATACCGCGGAGTTCACAGACCGAAGCGCACATCCGCTCACCGTGCGCGAGCAGCCAGCAACACGGGTACGCCCGGGCATCCGGAATGAGCGGCCCGGAGCCAGAATGCCGGCGAGTCCCTTCGCTCGTCGCGGCGGGGCTCTGCGCCTGCCAGACGTCAGATCCTTCTCGGTGGACTCGTGCAGCTCCTTCTCGCGTCCCCCGCCCTCATGCCGTCCTGTAGGCATGCTGGTGAGTAGCCCTCGCGCCTTCGACGGGGTGCGCACTCACAGCAAACAGGTACATAGCCGCGCACCGCGTTATCCAAGGATAAGCGACAGGCGCATACGTGGAGGAGTAGGTTCACATCGTCCCGGCGCTCGCAGGCTGTGTACGGCACCTGGAACCGCGACACAGCGCCCATGCACGATGGTCATGCCCGGCCGCTAAGTGCGCCCGAGTCTCGGGCCGCTCGGAGTCCTCAAGTGGTGAACGCATGTGCAGATTCAGGTATACGGGAATCTAGCGCGACGTCCCTTCGAATCCTGGCCAGCCGAGTTGCCAATGTCGCCCGCACGACAGATCACGGTGAGCAGGCTCGCCAAACGTCACGGAGAGGGTGAACTAACCTGCTCAAGTTTGCAGTCGGCCTACGTTCCGCGAAGAATGCGCGCTTGGAATACCAGACGCGTGAGGAACAGTCAGGTGTGCCAAGACACGAACAGACCTAATCCGGCGGTAGCCCGCTGTTATGCTGTGTCTCTCGTTGCCTCGCGAATGGACATACATCGTGAGCAAACGTTCCGGGTGCAGAAGCGTTACAATACTCACTTTTGTAGGCCCCCAGACGACAACACTCGCCCCGCTCAGGCTCTGCCGCCGCCTTTGAGCACTCGATAGAATATATCGCCGCCCTTCTCCGTGTTGTGGGGCGGCCGTGTTCTTGCGCGCGGAGGACACCTGAGGCAGGTTCAGTGCAGCCTGAGTGCGAGGCACTCGGTCAGTTTAACGACGCGCGCGGCGCAATTTGACAGCACGCACTGTGTTCGCGAAGTGGCGTACGCCGTGGACGTCCGGCTGATCGACGTGTGCTGAACGCTGAGCCCAGTCTCCCCGGCCCGCCTATTCCGAGTGCGCTGTCCGGGTTAAGGCTCTTGCTCGCCGGTACGACTTGTCCGCGCCAATTTGTTGCGTCCGTCTGTCTTCGTTCCACAACTCGCCCCGACACCCGGCCCAAAGACAGTGTACATCCCATCGGCGGCTCTCGTACCTCATGCAAGTGCCTTGTGTTTCCGCAAATATGGCGCCTGCATGCTGAGAGACCTTTTCTGCAGGACATGAGTGGACAAGCATAGCAGAGGACAGCTGCATGCCAAGAAAGGAGTGAGTGGCTCGTACCCGCGCCCCGATATCGCGCGCGCATCGGTGGGATTGTGAACCGGCCGCGACTCAGCGATGCATCTCCACCTGCCGCTTGCGGCTCATTTCTGCTCCGGTCTCTGATGCCAGTGTAGTAGCGACCTGCGACAGGATCTCTCGGATGGCCTGGTGCGTCCCCATTCCAGGCACAGTCAGGTGCGGGGGTTTCCGAGCTACTCTCGCTAATACAGCTCTCCGTTTGCATCAAGTCAGATCGTCTGCCGGGGCGCTCTCCCGAGCACACGGGTATCCACCCAGCACCTCCGCCTGGAGATGTGATGTTACGTTACGGCAGGTAGTCCCACCCAGAGAGGAGTATCCCAGGGCACTCCCTCATCCTCTCCTATCTCCCAGACAAGTATATTCTGTGTAGGTCTACAATGCATGTAACTTTGACTTACTTGAGTAGGGACGAGTGCAATGCAATGTGTTTGTGTGTATGCAGGACCCTAAGAGTGTTCCAATCTCTGTGGCTGACATACTTATTGTCTTCTGATGGCTCTCGCTTGCGTGTACTCATTTTATCACACACATTGGTCCAGCCCTACATTGCCATGACCACGTTCGCACCCGTCGGAAACCCCTGCGGCGGGACACTCTGACCGACTGTACAGCCGGATAGGAATGCAAACAAGCGAGGTAACAATTCGAGCAGCGGAGGACCCCGCTCCTCGCATGGATACCGCCTCGACTGCAATCCAAAGCCCCGCATAGCACGAGGCACATACGACGGCCCATCCAGTCACACAGAACCCTGTTCGCTGATTTACAACAGCAATTTCTCGCCGCGCGAGGCAAATCGTAATTCATATGGTGTCAAAAGTTACATGAACCCAGTACCGAGTCGACGACACAATGTTCTGCACCAAGCAGCCTTACAAGTAAACTCATGGTCACATCCGGAGAAAGATATATTGATGCGGAAAGGAGGTCACTGAGCAACAGCGGCAGGAGCGTGGAACGGCGTGCCAGTGAGTGGGAGAAAGGAGAGAGGCGCAGTAACCACTTCTCGCGCTGCGCGCGGTGCGAACAATCAAGCGCCCGCGCTCGCGAGACGAGTTCCTAGTTTGGCAGCTCCTTGTACCGCTTTCTTCGCGACTGCCACCACCGCCTCTGTCGTTCGCCCTTCTCCTGGATCCCAGCCGTCCTCCACATTGGAAATGATATGCTGTTCATTCCATTCCGGTATCCTGCATGCTGGGTGTGTCAAATCGAAGGTTGTGAGCAAAACTAGCATTTTCAAGAGGCACCAACTCGCCACATGCTACCTATCAACGCTAGCGAGCCATACGGTAAGTATATGCAGTGCTCTACGCTGCCAACTCCGGCCACACGAACGGCAGACGCTGTAGTCTAAGTAGAACAAGCTGCAAGTCAGTCAGCTCGGCGATCCTGGCCTCCTGCTCCGCCCTTGCCTCCGCCTCATCTGTGATCACCTCGGCCGACTTCGGCCCATCCCGAGGGTACCTCGACGGCAAGCCGTATGGGTTCGCCTTCGGGCGTCGATGGCGCTTGCCGAGGTCGCTGCGGTGACGCTTGGGCGGGATGCCACGGTGGAGGACTGCCGGAGCGACGGCAAGGGGGTCCTTCATCGCTGCGTCGAGCACGGCCGTGTCGGTGATGGGGACGAAGTGCATGACACCGCTCTTCCAGAGCGCGAGGAGGCGGGAGACTCGCTCCTTGCCGGTGATGCGGCTCAGGTTGTCAAATACAATGTTGTCGGGCCAGCCGACAAGCCTGACCGAGTACCGCAGGACGACGTGCGTGCAGTAGCCCTTGATAGTGTAGGCCATGCGCGCGCAAGGGACGCCGGATATGTCCGCTGGCATTGCACAAGGTCAGTCCTGAAGAGTCTACTCTCGCAAAGGCAATTCACTCACATAACCCTTCTCTCATCAGCCATCGCAGCTCCCCACGCATCTTCATCTCTCCACGGACGTAGTCCTCGCGGAGGGTCTGGCCAAGAGCGCGTACAACGGCCATGACGGTCAACGAATGTTGGCGGCTATGTGATCGTCAGACGGAGCAGAGATCGAGGCTGCAAGGGCGGTACGTACGCCTCGGAGAAGTTCAATACAAATTGAGGCTGAAGGGTGGATAGGACCGACACGAGGGCGGCGGCGATAGCCATACTATATGAGTGCGAGGCGAACAGTCCTGGTCTCGCGCACGCTCACGGTCAGGTCCGAATTGCGCATTTGCTGCACCGGCGATCACGGGTGCCACACTCGACCTGGCCTCCACGTTGCGAGGGGTCTACGAGATGCTGCGGCGCTCTTGACTTCGGTAAGCACCTTGCTCTCGGTTCATCTACGCATCTCAGGGCGCCGCCATGCCGTACCGTATGCTGACAAGATCGAATTTTGCATATCAATTCCGGAAGAGGAACCCGCATCAATTACGACGCCGCCCCGCAAGCGACCAGGCAACGCTCAGACAAACTCGTCGTGTTTGTCTGGCTCGGTCGGGTCTCGCGCGGTGGACAAGATTACGACATGAACGACACGCTATGAACTTCACTCGTACGCGCAAGCAGCCCGCCCTAGGTCCGCGGCGTGACCACTCCCTGTAAGCACCTAGATTCGGTGTTGTACGTACTTGCCAGGGGTGTTCGACGCTCTGGACGCTCCACTCACCGGCAGGACGGCCGAGACGCGCACGCACAAGGCTGTGCAGCGTCTTCCCAACGCGGTTTGCTCGCAGGACGACCGAGACGCACGCGAGATCGTGGAATGTCTCCTTGCCATATGGTTGAGCGAGGGGCACGGCACCTCGGATACGTATGGTCCGGCACGACCCTCGCTGACAATAACAGGTGCGGACAAGTCGCTTCATGCAGCGCCGCCGCTTGCGATATGCGCTGCTGGCCCCGAGCCGCCTGGGCATTTGACGGTGGACGGCAGTACACAGGACTCGGGACTCCCGTGTCATGCGCTAGAACAGCGCCAGGGGAACGAACATTTCTAGAGCATCAGTGTCGGTCCGCGTGCATAGGTGCCAACTCGATCCTGGTTCTGTACGCTACGCCGGGAGCGCGTACGAACCGGACATCTCGGTACGTGCTCTGACGACATCGTACCCCCAGGGACTCGCCGTTCACCTAATCTGCGTTCACAGGTCGACCCTCAAACGTGCGCACGAAGCTTGCCGTTGAGGTACCCGACGTGTCCTGTACCGCCGCCGCTTCGCTCAATCGGTATCTGCTGGTGGCGGCTCAGGATGGCGGAGCGCAAGCCTGCGCGAAAAGAATGGGCAGCGGGGCACATGGTACCATCGTGAAGATAATGCGACACGACGAGGGCATGGGTGCTCGATATTGTATGCACTCGGTGGCACGGACGTCCCGCATTCACCGACATGCTTGGAAGTGCTGCCTCACCTCGCATCTGTAAGTTCCTATGTCGGCGGCTGCAATGATGACAACATGGGCTTACAGCATAGTCCCTGCCGTGTGACATTTGTAGCGGCGGGTCGGGCTTGTCGCAGGCCACGACGGGTGCCGTCCAGGCTCCGTATGCCTGACTACAACTTGAAGGGATCGAAGCACCTCGCGTTGTCCGAAGTTGCATGCTGCATGCAGATCGAGCACAGCCGCTCTCACGGCCCCCTTGAGGCAGGAATGTATTGCAAACTATGGCCCTCCTACAGCCTTGTTCACGAGGTCTCCGCAATGCACGGCCGTCATTCCCTGCGTGTGCATAGCAACCAGCAATCTGGTGAGAGTGCCATCTATCTTGTCCTAATCTCGCTGTCTGATCCGCACACTTGGCTTCAGGTTTACGACATGCATCGGAGTAGAGTAAATACAGGAAGGCTATCATGGAGAGATACAGCCTCGGCCGAGATAGGTACACGGCAGGGGAACACGAAACATTTGCGGAGAACAGCATGACGCACTACACATCTTGCCCCGCTCGCGCATGGCAAGGAGTTTGCGCTCCCTACGTTGGCCGCGGAGATGTGAGCTCGATGTTGGTCTCTCGGGGTGAACACATCTCTTACCTATCCGATTCCCGAGCGCTCTGGTACGACCTTGTCCATTCGCTGGGGTGCGCCGCAGCGTGTGAGTCATGATCCAGTGGTTCAACGACTGTCTCGGGCTTACAAGGTGGGTACTACGATCTCGACTAGGTACGCGTCTATGCCTTTCGCGAGCGCAGTCATGTCAGCATGCAGCGAGGCGAAAGGAGAGGGGCCGCGGGCTTACCGTGCGCACGGGAATCGACCACATACGATCTTGTAACCACGCCCACCCAACTCGCTCGCGGCGCAGCGGCAGAGTCGCATCTGGCCATGTACAGCAGGGTCACTACATGGCAACGGACGTACCTCAGTTTCAAGTGAACAACACGGCCTCGTCGATGCGGGGCGGGGGCGCATAGGACGTCTGCCGAGGGCCTCGGCGATTTCGAATCAACCGTCAGAGAACGGGTTGCCAGGAGTTCGCGGACATACCTCCCAGCCTCGGGCCGTGCCAGTGGCTCTAGACTCGAGCGTCCGCCGATGCGCGTGGTCAAATTAGGTGGTCAGCGCTGTCCAGCCTCTTGGGGCCCGGGCGCAGCGGCACGATCGTGCCCTGCCGTACGTCAACGTGCTCACCGTGCTCATCGGTGGCAGCACATGTTGGAGGCGGTCGCGCCATGTGGTGCCGTAGCGGAGATTTGCAGCCACCATGTACACGCGGCCAACGGCCAACTCGAGGCCGCGCGCGCGCAGAGTGGCGGCGACTTCACTGGTTGCTGCACACCCCCGCACATCGGCGAATCGTCCTGCGGCGCCATGGGAGGGTCGAGGTAGGCGGCGAACAGCGCGTCGGTGTCGTCGTTACGCATCCCCTGCGGATGGAAGTACATGAGCGAGTCTTCCGAAAGAGGGCGCATCGGCTGGTGGGTGAAGTGGAGCAAGCTGTCCGGAGGGAGCATCGGCGGATGCCACAGCGTGTTGGCCGTGGTGCACGTACGAGAACGACGTATAGGGAGTGAAGGGGAAGTCGTCAGGCTGCGACGCCGGCGAGGAGCTCGAGAACGAGTTGCTGTAGGAGCCGTATGGCACGGCTGAGAAGCGCAGCCCCAGCACCGTGTTCGCGGCCCCGTACGCGTCTTGTAAGGGCGCGCGGAGCCGCATTCTTCACTAGACAGTGCAATACATCAATGTCAGCAAGACTCGAGTTAGATCTCACTCACCTTGCGAGTCCCCGATGGCACAGAGACGTTCTGCGCGAGGCAGACCGCACGCGAGCGAGAGCAGGACAGCCAGGGGGCTGCTATCGTGCTTTGGAGTCGTCCTGTCGGGGGCGCGCCGTCCACGAACGCGGGGGAGCCAATGTGTGCCCCCCTGCGGCCTGCGGCGCACGGCGGTACAGTACTAGCAACGCAACGCGTTCGCGTACGTGTACGCAAGAGCACGAAGAGTACACTGACCGACGCAAACCCATGGGCGTCAGGATTCATGTCACCGCAGACGTGCAAAGTGAACATACCGACGTCGAATCCGTGGCACAATCGCTCGCAGCCACGGCATACTCAGCGAGACGGCGA